TTTAGATAGAAAAGATGATGCTAACTAGATGTTCTAAAATTCATTGATGTGCCTAAAGCGGTTTTAATTTTATGACGCTTTTTTTGATAACCCCTCGTATATATAACTATATAATATACATGTATTTATATTTTGGACACAAGAGAATCTAAGAGAACAGGAAAAGGGATATTATTATATGTACATTACTTATTGCTGTCACATTTATTTTAAGGTATATATCTACCCTGTTCGTTGTATTTTCTTCAGTTACTGGATTTTTAGGCACTTTATAAACAATTATAAATTGGTAAATAAGAGATTTAGTTTTAAGTTAAATAAAGAATTGGAGTATATTATTTTAACGATTTTTTGGTGGTAGGAAGGAAGGGTACTCAAAAAATATATTTGCATGAAAATGTTTCAAGTAAGCAAGAAAATATTAGTAGTACAAGTTTAATTTTATGGAAACTTACTTTAAATTAACATCTGCATTTTCTCGTGAAAACAATTCTTACACCAATGGTATCATTATATACTTTTAGGATAGCAACTAGTTCAAGTGTCAAGTAGTGAATAATTAAAATCTTTTAATTTCCGTATTTAATGCTGATGGATAGAAATCTTGTATACATGTGTTTTTTTTGGTCAGCTACGCTTTTTTACTCTGTACAGCATACATTAATTATTGATACCCATATTGCAGTGTGAGCTTTTAGAGATCCTGTTTATTTACGTCAAAGATTTCGACCTTCCTGAGGGACAAGTCTTCAAACTTCTAGAACTTTTCAAGGTAAACAAAAAATTCTAGAATAGTGAAAGTATCTGCATTAAAAAGCATGCGTTTCTATGCAGACGATATCTAACATAATGATTACTTATTTAATTCATGTTCATGTGTATTTTATCATGAAATGATATCTTAGGCACAGTCACAAATACAGTTGTGTACATATATTTTTGTTTTCACAGAGACACGGATTTGGACGTTTACAAAATTACAAACACATTTTAGACGATTCTTTGATTTTTTTGGTGAAAAGAATAGGGTAAGTTGGAGATTTTTTATTTTGAAGACACATCAGTGTTATTTTCAAAGTTTATGGTTTTACATAGGTATTCATGTTCTTCCTTAGGTACTTAGAAGTGCTGATTTTTATTGAAATGATGGACCTACAGTCTGTACAGGCTTGCATTGAGAGGGGGAGGTAGGGTTTATATACATGTGTAAACAATGTGTATCTGTTTCTGTCCCTTTCTAGATATTATTAACATACTGAACTGAATTTAAGATGATTTTTTAAAATATTTTATTTGAAAGGCATTGCAGTTATGTTTATATTTTACTTGCAGTTTTGATGAACACTTCCTTTTGAAAGACAAGGATATATTTGGGGTAATTGAACATTTCTATGAACTATTTTTGTAGAAAAGATGTACGCTTATCTGTAATATACTTTAAAGAAAAAAAGAAGTCATAATAAGATATTGATAAACCTGAATTGTTGTTGAAATTAACTTATCTTAATTACATGTATGTGGAATTTCAGAAGTTGGATAAGATTGTTCAGTCTCTGGGTTCAGAAGAAAGTCATGGCCCCATTCTGTTGCTGTGGTCGGCCATGCACATGTTCGCTGGAGAGGCTGCGGATTTCTCCAGGGTCAGGAAGTACGGGAACGGAGCCATCCATCTCCACGTGTTTCATTACCTCTACAACCTGTTAAAGTCCGAGCCGTTTACAGAGGAAGACTCGGTAAAAAAGCTTGATATGTAAATTTTTTCTCTCAATAACAAAACAGTTTATTTTTTCCGTAGTACATTTATACAAATCAAAACAGTTACCTGAAGGAAATCAAATTCAGTGTTGCATTTTCTTGTAATGGTTATTTTGTACTATGCTATAATTTTATAACATGAAAGATATTTTCTGTCTAAATTTTTTCAATAAACTTTTGAACTAGTTCATGGGATAAAGCATTGAAAATATTTTTGGAAAAAGTATAGAGATCAACTATGTCTGTTACTGTATCATTTAGGTATTTACTAAATTACCATTTATAAAATACCTTTTCATGTATATTATTTATCATACTTAGAATATTTTTGAAATATGCATAAAACATACATAAAATAAACATTTGCCGATAATGTGAAAAGGCATTAAAGCTTAGTTCTGAACCCTTTTTAGCTCACCTGAGCCGAAGGCTCAAGTGAGCTTTTCTGATCACACATCACCGTCCGTCTGTCTGTCTGTCTGTCTGTCTGTCTGTCTGTCCGTCTGTAAACTTTTCACATTTTCGATTCTTCTCAAGAAAAAAAATCACTGGGCCAGTCCATTCTTGGTACAAAGCATCCTTGGGTGAAGGGACATTTAAATTGTTAAAATCTAAGGGACATTCCACACTAAGAGATGCTCATGACCCAATAGGGTGTGTCATTAAAAAATCTTCTTCTCAAGGTCTGGGCCAGAAAAGCTGAAACTTATGTAGAAGCATTCTGGTATAGTGTAGATTCTAAATTGTTCAAATCATGACCCCCGGGGGAAGGGCGGGGCCACAATGGGGAATCAAATTTTAATATAGAAATATATATGAAAAATCTTTGAAAATCTACTTCTCAAGAACCACTGGGCCAGAAAAGCTGAAACTGATGTGGAAGCACCCTGACCCAAGTGTAGTTCTAAATTGTTCAATTTGGGGAAGGGCAAGGACACAATGGGGAATCAAAGTTTTATATAGAAATATATAGGAAAAATCTTTGAAACATCTTCTTCTCATAGGAGGAAAGCTGAAACTTATGTGGTTCATCCTGGTATTTCACACTAAGATTGTTCCATCATGACCCAAGGGTGTGTCAGGGCCACCAAGGGGAATCAAAGTTCAACATAGAAATATATAGGAAAAATCTTTGAAAATCTTCTAATCGAAGAATGGGCCATCTGAAACTTATGGGAAGCAAGTATAATGTAGATTCTATTGTTCAAATCATGCCCCCCGGGTGTGTCATGACCTTGACACAATGGGGAATTGGGGAAGTTCAAATAGAAATATATAGAAAAATCTTCAAAATTTCTTCTCAAAACCACTGGGCCAGAAAAGCTATCAACTTATGTGGAAAAGTCCTGGTATAGTGTAGATTTTAAATTGTTCACAATGACCCCCGGGTGTGTCAAACAGGGCCACAATTGGGGAATTCAAAGTTTTACTAGAAATATAGGAAAAATCTCAAAATTTCTTCTCAAGAACCACTGTCCATATCTTTCTTATGTAAAGCATTGGTATAATGTAGATTCTAAATTGTTCACACATGAGATTGCCCATGCCCCAAGGGTGTGTTTATATAGAAATATATAGACCCAAATCTTTGAAAATCTTTTCTCAAGGTCACTGGAAGAAAAAAACTTATGTGGAAGCATCATAAAGTAGATTCTAAATTGTTCACGTCATGATCCCCGTAAGGGCATATGGGGAATCAAAGTTTTTATGAAATATATAGTCTTTGAAAATCTTCATTTCACCACAAAAAAGCTGAAACATATGTGCCCATGAAGGATCATTGGGTGTGTAAATTCAAAATGACCTTATGATCAAGGTCATTTGGGAATTATGTTAACAAGGTCACTGGAAGAACAAATTCATAATTCTTCTCAGGTCCATATCCTTTGTTGTTAAATTGATATGTTCTCATGTTCATCACAAAGATTGCTGGTTCTGATGATCCAAGGATTGTCATGAACACACTCTGGGCTCAGACCAAGATGCTGAGGTAAAAAAAAATCAATTGACCAGTGATTCTAGGTGAAAATTCAGTTGTGGTATGTTTAAGAAAAGAGGTATTCTTATAAGCACAAGTTGAAGTCTATTTTCATCAAAGTGCAGTGTATATAACAAACATTTCTACCTTTGTCATATTTTTGCTGTTGTAGATAAACAGAAGATTTATTTCTAATTTCTGTCTTTGATGTTCATCAAATTAATTCTTTATTTCAAAGGCTTTACACAGAGTGATCTGTTTGGTTTTAAAACAAGTCAGTGTGTCTGAAGATTTCTGGGAAAAGGTAAGTGACATATAATTAACACCACCAAAAGAGACTAAGTATTTTAAAAAGATTCTTGATACATTGACACATGCATGTACTCAAATTTATTAATATTTTTTCTTTAAAAATAAGGAAATCTTAGAGTGCAAATGATTATCTTTCAGGGAAGTGAGGAGGGATTTGGCAGTGTCTTTCATTCCGCCCTGTTGCGGTTTCCACTGGATTATACCAGTTTTGTCCAGTTCAGTGCTGCCATAGCAGCATCCTCTCCAACAAGTGCAGAAAGGGCAAGTTGCAAATGTCTAATCGAGATTTAATGTTTATGGGTCGGGGAAAAAGCTATATGCGGTATATTGCATATATTTGCCCCCACAAAAGTCAAAGTTTGAAAACTTCCTGAAATGTGCTGAATTCAGTAAATTGTATGAGAAATATAAATTAACAGAAAATATTATAGTGTCAAGCAGTGTATCACAATTTTTGTTTTTATGAATCACAAACTAGTCCGATTTTATATCCTTTTTCAGAAAGAGGAAAAAATGGACAAAATTTCAACAATTTTAGCTGTGTGAAATTATAGAGCTCAAGTTCGTTCAGGAACAATATTGACATATTTTATTGATATTATCATTCTACACATTATATCTAAATATTGATCCTGAACACACATGTGCTCGGTGACTTTTACTCAAAATATCGACGAAATATGTAAAATTCATAAAAAACTTAAATTTACGTCATGTTTGTGACGTCAACACAGATTGCGTAATTACTTATGAAAATACAAAGTGCTTTGAAGTGCTTCATATACCCCAGAGAACTTAATTAAATATATCTCCATCAAAGTTTGATTTGGGGGGCAAATATTGGTTATTACCGAATAAAGTTCTTTTAGGGAAAAATTATGTTTTTATAATCTAGCATACAAAATTACCCATCCCACGGGTGCAAGGTTTTAAGAAATTGCTACATGTTCATAGAAAGATTTGATGAATATAGAGAGTATAACATAGGAATGGAGGTTAATAAATGGATTGTTTTGTAGATTTTGCACATTTGGAAGCAGTTACAGCGGTACACAGAGTACCTGGACTGTAATCATTCCTCAGATTTAACTTCCACCAGGGAACTCAACGAGTGGAAACTGGTCGTCAACAAAACACCGTACCATAACAGTGAGAAATTTCAACTATGTACATGATTTAGACTCGCTGTAAAATTTTCGAATATCATTTTATCTCATCTTGACATTTTACTAAGAATCTGTAGCAGCAACTAGTATCATAGGAAGTAATTATTATTTGGAATAAAAGAGAGTTGACATAATATTCCTTGTAGTGAGTGCTGATATGATCAGTAATTGAAAAATATTTTACAAACTAAATATGATGCGCATTAATTAAAAGAAAATCACACAGATTTCATGTTTTGTTAAGTTAATTATACTGTGTTGTGAAAAATTTAAGTAGTTATATATACAAAAGATTCAATGCAAAAAATACCCTTGTATTCAGTATTAATTCTTTCTAACCAAATCAATGAATGAATGTGTGATAAATTTTAGACCATATCAAAAATGAAAAATGAGAAAATATTGCATATAAAATAAAATGGTTTGAATTCTCATTTGTCTGATCTTTTTTATTCACAGAGGACTTTGTATTGAATGCTGGTACCAAAGGGAAAATACTCACGATGGGCAGTAAGTCTATTTAAGTCGCCAATCTAGATACAATAAATTGTAACGTCAAAGTTTCCAAATTTTGCTCTTCATGAACAGAATTGTACAAAAATTGTGAAAAAAAAATGAGATAGAATTTTACCATATAGTGAAGTTGGAGAGTATTTTTTCTAATACATGTATCTTACAGCTAAACACGACGCCAGTCCCATTATCCAGTGGTACGTGACATACAGTGGGTGGGAAGTCCTTCTGTGTGAAGTGGAGGTTTTATTGGATCAAGTCGCACAAGGATCTGGTATGTGTACTATAATGATAGTAGGAAGGCAGTGGCTCAATCAAAAACATTCACTGTATTTAGCAGGTTTCCTTGCTGATTTATTGGTTCACAGTTTCCTTTTTGAATTAATATTTTTTCGTTGCTGAATTGTGCATTTTAGAGTTGCAAAACCCAATTCAAAAATGGGCTGTGTGAAATTCTTGTATTTGTAGAAATATGGAAAGATTTGATGCAGTTGTGATATTTTATGAAAAATATTTACCGGTAATGTTAATAAAACGTAAATAAAATTTTATATTTATTTAGGTATGGTGTCACCAACACAGATTGATAAAGTGACACAGAGTATAGAACTGGTGCATGCCGTGCTTCAGAACCATCCAGAGAGTGAGAAAGAATTCAAATCCATCATCAACTGCATCTACATGTTGATTCACAGGTAACTGCAGAATGACTTTCTCATTGAATCAATGGACAATCAACAACTGCAATAGCAGTGTGCTACCCTCCCTTTATGTGAATAGAGATGGGGGACCCTGAAGACATCCTGTAGATACTTGTACTGTAGTGTTATGTTACGTCTAATTTCCTTTTGTAGATTTGTGAGACTGCCCCACCCTCCTGTCCATCTGATAGTCCAGTGTATAGACTGTGTCACTTGTCTGGCTAAACAGAATCCTGTCAAGGTGGGCCACAAACTAATGTTAATGCTTGATTTATGCTATTTTCATACATTTACTAATAATCCATAGTGTAATGTGATTTCAAACCATATATTATTTTAAAAAACGAAAATCATTATTTGGAAATGTTTTTGTAAAACAGAGTTTTACTTAATATGTTTTCAGGTTTGGCATAACATGAAGCAGACAGGATTACTACCATATCTGACGGAAAACATCGACAACATTGCAGAAATACTCAGGTTAATATTCATGTCTTGTTAAGTTAAAAGTTATATTGTGTTGTGAAAATGTTCAGTAGATATATATGTAAGAGAACGTTTTCCAGTGGCCAAGGTTTGATGGCTGGTTGCTATGGTAACATGCTGTTTGGGGTGGAGTGTATCGAGGGGTCGTATCCAATCACCACATCAATACTGGAGTTCATCCTGAATCTTATTCAACCATTCTTCAAAGACTCCATGGAGAATGAACTGATGGCTTCAACTATGTATATCCTGAGGGAAGTCTTTCCAGTTTTTCAGAAATGGAGATTTTACAAACTGAAGACAAGAGAATTGATAGGTAAGAAAATGCAAATTTGGTACTGCGTTGCCAGGTTTATCATACTCAGAAATAACTTTAAATATCGATAACTTTTATTTTGAGAAAAAACATGCGTTTTTATTTTCCATCACAATGGGATTTTGACAATTTTCTGTATGGAGGTAGTAATTTCCATTGTATCGCTGTCCGATCATGGTAATTTGTGTCCGATGTACGGAGAAATGAATTACCAGTGAAAACCATTCTATAAAGAATTTACTTTTGTTAAGTGAATATTTTTTAAAATTTATGTAAAATTACCAATCTTTGACTTTATTTACCAAAGCCTTACAAATTACGCCGAAGTCGACTTTTATAATCTTTTAATTGAAAAAATCATAAATTTCATTATTCCCCTTTGATGATAAAATATGTAACTTGAAGGCCATTCTTGATTTTTTCAGGTCGTGATAATAACAATGTATTATTAAAAAATTTAAATCTTCACTCATAGCTATGTCAAATAAATTCTCGGAACCATTGAAAGAGAATTTAGTGCCACATGTGTCCGTGCAAACTTAGAGAATGTTTTCCAGTGGCAAAGTAATAAATCATTTTTGCAATGAAATACAATCAAATCAAATATTAATTTTAGGTTTTCAAAACTCCAGTGAAATCTGCTTCAACAATGTATATCCTGACCCCTCTTTCCAGTACGATTTGAAATTGATAGGGAAAAACAATTTTGACACACGTTTAGGTTGGTATAATACGATTTTTTTAAAAATAAATTTCTGTGAGAAGGGATGTATACCGACTCCAAAAACAATGTTTTTGCAGTTATAGCAACGTAATATATTTACTGAACATATGCATTTTAATTGCTATCTTCAAAATTATTTTGATATGCTTGATCAAAATTGTCATTATATTTTATGCCCTGAAAAAGTCGTTAAAAGTATGTGTGAGCTGGTGATCATGTGTTGATTAACATGATTTTGAACATTTTCAAGACACTTGTTAGTGTACATTTTACCTTATCTGCACTAAATATAATTAATAACTCTTGTTAAATATTAATTGAGAGTTTAAAATCCGTGAAATATAAATTATCTAAAACTTTTATGATAAAAGTGTGTGACACACGTGCGCTGGTTCAAATGATAATTATATCCACCCCTCGGGAATTTATTTACCGACTCCAAAGCAATGTTTTTGCAGTTAGAGCACTGATTATTTACTGCCATGTTAATTGCTGTGATTATTTTCTTTGCTAGAAATTGGTGAAGATTATACATATAACGTTTGATGAGCATGGTGAATGTTTGATTTCGGCACTTAAACATTAAACACTTGTAAATGTAATTTTACCTTATCTTATACTTATCGGCCTCTTGTTAAAATAATTGCAGAGTTGAGAAAAAATATAAATATGCTACAACTTTTAATAAAAGTGGTATCATAGACTAAGATATCTCTTTTTGTTGAAGAGGAAAATCGTATTTTCTAAAGAATAAATACTTTGATGTTTCAATTTGTTGTTAAAATATTTTTTTTAAGCATGATTATCTTCAACCAAAATTAAATATGACAACGATAAAACTTTCGATTAATATCTCTATTTTTACTAAAATTAATAAGAAATGTGTTATAATTTTCCCAACATTTTTTTTGTTACTATTTCAACATTATCTTGTGCTTTGTTGAAATAAATGAATAAATAATATTCTCCAGATTGCCGCTATACGGAATGTCAGGATTAAGAGAAAGTTAAAAAGTGTGTATTTTAAAAAAAGTGTGTTCAGTAAATTTTTGACACCTAATCCTCGCGCCGATTTTCGTAACAAATTACCGTGATTTTCAAAGTTCAGAACATCGCTTGGTATATTTTTCTGTTGCGTATAATACATCCAAACTGTGTTTTTTTTCCCCAGTTTCAGACTTAAAAAGGGGGATGCGTATTTTACATCAATGCGTATTATACTCGGCCAAATACGGTATGTAATGCCAGATTTCCTTTAAAAAAATGACTTTAAATGTAATGAGAAGGGGAATTACAACAATGAAATCACTAATATTCTAGGAGGTTTAATTTTTGTTGTTTCTGTGATAATGAAGAGACCAAGAAATTTATATTCCCATGGTAAGTTAAAATACTATATTGCAATGCAATAATTTTCTTTTCATCAAGAAAATAAATCCCCCTCTTTCCAGTTCCGTGCCAGATAAATTTGATTCCACAAATATGAGTGGATATTGATCAAACACCCTTAACAATGAACATTGCTTTCCTATATTGTATCATGATTACAATTTGATCAATCTTTGAATTTCAGGCAGGAAGTGTGTGGAAATATTTCACAAAATATTGGTTACTATGATTACCAGAACTAAACCTGTGGAATCTGCCTCCAAAAGGTACAGAATTTATCTGTTTTATGTTTAACAGAATTTTTCTCAATCTTTTTGTGGTTTTTATTGGTTTCCAATGTTTTATAGACCCAGAATACAAGAGATCGTTGTGTACAGTCTGCTGTTTACTGAGGCCGGGCAGACTTTGCTGGGAATCATTGCCACAGGATCAGATACTGTAGATTTGGCCTTAGTTCAGCAAGGAAGGTATGATAAACCATTTATGAAAAATGACCTTAAATGTACCGATCGAATTTTGCCATATTTATAAAACATTTTAGCATGTGTTGAACAGATCTTTGAAAGCTTTTATGATCAATTTTTTTTAGACTGAATATTTGCTTGGGTTTATTCAATCTATGAAAAAAATATAAGTAAAAATAATATTAATCCCTCTTCAAGGTATTGTGATGATTAAAAATTGAATGTTTTCCTTCCTATTTTCTCAGCATGGCAGATGATGGGATTGGAGCGGAGATGATACGACTGATACAGATCTCATTCTCGGTTCTGAACCAGCTGTTATTGCTAAAGAGTCCCAACCTTCCCCTGTCTCCAGTGGAGTCGGCTCTGTCTTCTCAGCCCGTGGTCAGACAGAACCAACACATAGTGGCTACCATAGCTCAGTACATCTACCACAAACACAACCCCAGACTTCCCATGCTGGCTTGTCTCTTACTCAGAAGACTGGCTGTGGTCAGATTTTTACCTAACTTGTATCATCTCTTCAGATAATTTTTTGTTCATGCCATATGTCAATATTTGAGCCATTCAGTCAGTCATATAATTGCTTTACCCATACAGTAAAACACACTTATAAGGAAATGTCAGGAACAGATTATTTTGAATTCTTATACATGTAAATGTAGCTTGCTTTATCCATTAAATTCACAATATATTTTAAAGCCACTGGGACTGAGATTTACTTTGTTGTAAGCATCAATTTATCATAAATGTTCACTATAAGCATGTTTTACTGTATGCTGGTGCTATATGGGGATGAAAATTTTTTAAAAAGATATTAGAAAATTCTTCTTTGACTCAGAAGTCTCTTTTGAGTTGATTTGTATGTATTTGTGTGATTGTAGGTGTCCAAGATGTCGATATTATCGTGTTTAGGGGGAGCAGCAGAGTCAGTCAGAGACATGTATCTCAATCGTCTACAAAGCACCACCGAGGTATGTGGCATCAGAATTCTATGTCAGAACATATTGTTTTTTGATTGCCCATACTAAAGGCATACATGTACAGTTGACTAGAAAAAATGTACCTGTAATAGGTTTATATCATTTACTGGTACTATAAGAATTTCAAAAAAAAAAATCTTAAAAGGTATGGAATAATTGTAGGACCTCAGACTAAAGGTAGCCATTTTGGAGTTTTTATCGGTGTGTGTGGATGCACAGCCCGGGTTGATAGAGATGTTCCTGAATGTACAGCTTACAGAATCTTCCTCATCAGAGGCCGCCAGAAGGGTTTGTACTCCGTACACATACAATGTGGTAAAAAAAAATAAAAGAGCACTAAATTTGGTTCAGAAAAAATTGTATTGTGAGACTTCCATTATATGTACCATTATTAAGGACAATAGACATTACTCTTTTTTAATGGTTTTTATCCATGTAGGATTTATCCCTGGGAAAAATTAGTTGCCTTCAAACTGTGTTAAAACTGATGGAAGCCGAGAAACAGGTAAAAACTATTTCATAATGGAGTCTTATGCCAAAAACATTCCTAGTTTGTACTTGCACCTGATATCTGTTAAGATTTGAGTTATATTTGATCACTGACTGATGTGATGTTTTTTTGGCTGTAGATGACGTACCAGTGTCCCCCTGATCTACTGTGTGCCTGTATGGAGTTCATCCACTCACTCTGGTCAGGACACAGGGAGACGGCCATGTCTGTCCTCAGAACCAAGTAATATCAGGAGTAGTGTGACATTGTATTACATATCCATTTTGGTTTTGCATTTAAGTTGTTCGTTGTACATGTAATTGTACTTTTTGTGTGAGTCGGTGACTCTCTGTATATAATTATATATGTTGATGTTATGTTGATTATTGACGTTTTACAGTGACAGATTCTGGTTGAGTGTGGGTGCTCCTCTCACGAGAGATTTACCAGACGCTCGGGAAAAACAGGATGAAGTAGGTCTAACTTTTAATATTATCTTTCACATTAATAGAAGCATCAAATGTGCAAATTCAAATAGGCATATTCTAGCAACACAATGGTAATTTATCTCTGTTTTCAATGTATATTAAGATGTCATAATTTTTTGTAATGTAATGAATCCACATAATTTTTTACCCTGGGGATTAAACTGATAATTTGATTTTATGGAATTATTACCCTATGAGAAAAAGTAAGTTTACAGTATAAATTTTTTAAAAAAATTTAATATTCTTTGAAGCTTCATTGAAAAAATAAACAGTACACGTACTTTGGGTTTTCAGGGATTGTATACTTGCCAAGTGAAGACTGTCTCCCATGTTTTAGAGATTCTATCGGAGGAAATTTTCAGTGTTACAAGGTTGGAAAAAAAGCATTAAGAAGAAGGATGTTTTTATTTGAGGCTGTAACAAATTCAGTTAATGATTTTTATTAAAAAAAAAGTGGGGGGGTGATTTGCATTGTTTAAAGAACATTTAATTAATTAGTGAAATTATGTCATTTTCTTGCAGTGGAAAACTAGATGACAAACTGAAGAAAGTTTTGGTAGACATCAATTCTACAAACAGACTGAAGTATTGGACTGGGGTAAAAATGTTATTTGTATATACCATTTCAAATTTGATCATACAATTTCAGTGCAATATTTTATTTTTAATGTTAGGTAAATCTTTTTTTTAAATTGACTTTTGAAGGAAGTTCGTAATTGTTTGGTTGAGGAGGCCAGTCAGACTGATCATCCAACAGACAACCTTACAGAGCATCACACACTGAAGCTCCTTATAGCCTGGAAAAACTTCCTGATCACGCTTTCCAGGTTACAGGTATGTGACTTTTCTCTCCAGGTTACAGGTATGTGACTTTTCTCTCCAGGTTACAGGTATGTGACTTTTCTCTCCAGGTTACAGGTATGTGACTTTTCTCTCCAGGTTACAGGTATGTGACTTTTCTCTCCAGGTTACAGGTATGTGAATGTTCTCTCCAGGTTACAGGTATGTGAATGTTCTCTCCAGGTTACAGGTGACCTATCTCTCTAGGTTACAGGTACAGGTAACTCTCGATACCTCAAAGTCCTGAGACCGAGAAAAAACTTCGAGAGATCAAGAGTTCGAATTTTCAAGAGTCGGGAATTTTCCGAGTTTGTTTGGCCGGTTTTAAAATTAGTCTTACCGGATGTAATGATTTTCATGCAGTGCTAACTTTTCACATGTGGTTTTTATAAAACAGCGATATAATTTAGTATTTTAGATGAATATTTATTAATCTGAGTAAGCTAAAAATGTACATCATCATTTTATGTTTATGTTTTTATTCTTCATGATACGTATATCAAACTACGCATTCGTTATATGTAAACAACATTTTAAAATGATTTTTCCAAACATGTACATTGAACAAAGTTCTGTTAGTATTTGTCCAACAGTAGTCGTCATATTGACACTGAGGCTGTTTCTGGATTTTCATATTTCGTTATACTCGAAATAAAAACTAAATTTACTAAGTGTTTTGTCTTACAATTACAATTTCTCATTGACACTGCATTTCTAAATTATCGTAATACAGTCGATGATAATTATTTTTTTAGCATATAGGCAACATAAAATTAATTATAAATCACTTATCACCTTGCAATACAAGTGTCACCTGAATAAACATCCCGTTACACGAGACCCGCGTCTTCTGCCTGGGGCCATTAAATGTCCTGGTAAAGTTGCTAATTTTGTAACTTGTATACAAATATCATTTAATTTCTATAAAATACTTGATTCTGATTGGATAAAAAATTCTTTTGATAACTGCATCAATAAAATCTTGAGTGCGGTTGTACTAAGCAGCCGTAACTACTTTGACAGTCGGTACATGTATATTCCCCGCTTCCAGGTTATTTTTTGAAGCAATAATTAAATACCTTTGCTTTAATAAATATTTTCCTGAATTTCGGAACCTGTCCGTTAGGTTCCTGACTTACTTTCTACTTTCGTTTCATTTTGAATTATCCCCCTTTGCTAAACAAATTAAAATCGTCTGCAATACAGTTATGGGAAGGAAGGGAAGAAATCGTTTAATCGGCATACTTTTCTTAAATGTTTGACTTTGAGATATCTGGCATGAAACAATAGAACTCTGAAAAAATGTTTTATTATGCTACCAAAGCGGGGAAAACCGTAAATCTGTTAAATCCTGGGAAACGAGTGATCGAGAAAAACGACACTGCATGAATTGAGGATGGAATTCTTTAATCTTGAACTATCGGCAGCAGACTCTTTCAGGTTTTACAGCATTGAAAGGTCGTGATACGTATATATATATTCGGTTTGAAATTCAAATGAAAAGATGCGTAAATGAAATCCAAAATTTCTGTGACCTAGAACTGATAGCCTTGGATACGGTATTTGAGTAGCTTCCCTTTACAATTACGAACTTAGATAACTTACCGGGGAAAATATATTCAGAGGGATAACACAACAGGTAAGTTTTTTGTGTTAAAGAACTGTAAATTATTTTGGCGACTGTTGGTAATCACAAGACAATATTTGAGAACGTTTTTCGTTAGCATGGTTAGAGCCATTTCGAATTTTCAGCAACGTGAACGTTATGGTGATGTATTCGTGCGCACTGTTTTTGATGCATACATTTAATAGAAAAGTGAAAGAAACTTTCATTTTATTAATTTAAAATCATAATTAAATGATAAGAAATGAATGTTATAATTTTTTCTTTGATCGATGTATCAAAGAAAAATTGGACTGAAAACTTTTTTTGCGCTATGCGCATTGATGAAAATTTCAATACATCGATCAAAGAAAAAATTATTACATTCATTTCTTAAAACCACTTCGAGGTATCGAGGGTAAATTTCAATGGAATATGCATAGCGGGACTGCATTTTGACTTCGAGGGATCAAGGGTTTCGAGAGATCAAGCGTTTGAGAAATCAAGAGTAAATTTGCTTAGTTATATAGGGGGAAAAATCGGGACTGGAGACTCACGTCGAGCGATCAAGAACTTCGAGAGATCGAAGATCGAGCCATCAAGAGTTACCTGTATGTGACCTATCTCTCCAGGTTACCTGTATGTAACCTAACTCTCCAGGTTACAGGTATGTGACCTATCTCTCCAAGTTTACAGGTATGTGACCTATCTCTCCAGGTTACAGGTATGTGACCTATCTCTCCAGGTTACCTGTATGTAACCTAACTCTCCAGTTTACAGGTATGTGACCTATCTCTCCAAGTTTACAGGTATGTGACCTATCTCTCCAGGTTACAGGTATGTGACCTATCTCTCCAAGTTACAGGTATGTGACCTATCTCTCCAAGTTACAGGTATGTGACCTATCTCTCCAGATTACAGGTATGTGACCTATCTCTCCAGATTACAGGTATGTGACCTATCTCTCCAGGTTACAGCTATGTGACCTATCTCTCCAGGTTACAGGTATGTGACCTTTCTCTCCAGGTTACAGGTATGTTATTGTTCTCTACAGGTAACAGGTATGTGACATATCTCTCCAGGTTACAGCTATGTGACCTATCTCTCCAAGTTACAGGTATGTGAACTTACAGTTTTTTCTCACATACATATAACCTACATGTATGTGATCACTCTCTCCAGGTTACAAGTATGAGATCACTGCAGGTTATAAGGAATGTTAAGAGAGTTTGTTCTATAGTGAAATACTTTTGAATATGTCAAAGTAAATGGCATCTGCATATGAGTGAAAAATTCTCGAGAGGGTTGTTAAACAATATACATGTACAATCAATTGTCAATCAAATAAGAAAAAGCATCAGAGGTCAAGTTGGACTGATTTTTTTTAACTTTTGAAAATTTCAAAAAGTTTTCCTTTTTGTAGGTGGAGCAACTGAAAATGGACAACCATTTGAAAGAAATCATCATCATTGACTTGATAGAAGGTCTCCGAGCATTGGTAAGTCTGTAACAGTTTCACATTTTACTGACTTCATCTTTCTATTGGGAGCATTACAATAAAGCTCACTCTTATTCTAATCGCCTAGTTTTAAAAATTGAAGAGAAGAATTAGTTTATTTCTTTTCCTTTTAGATCAATGGAACTTCTTTAGAATTAAACATGAAACTAGCCAAGATCACAAGTGCTTTGATTTTCAGACTCATCAAATCATGGACAAGGTATGTGTATCTGTTTTACAGTTTGGGTGAACATTTATGTACATGTAATTGCTTGAATACAAAAAGCCAATGTTCACCGTAATTTTGCTTATTTTAAGAGTAAACAAGATGTGTTTGTGAAACGCTATCGCCTGGCAGCAACAAAGTTCGAAAAAGCAATTTTTAGAATATAGGTCACAGTCAAGGTCACACGATTATTGTCCTTGGTGTCATTTGAAAGAACTTATTTAGGGGAGTATACATACCAAATATGAAGTCTGTATCTCCTATGGTCAAAAAATAATGGTTAAAGTTCGAAAAAGCTATTTTTAGCATATAGGTCAAGGGTATTGACCTTGGCGTTAATTGTTGGAGTTTGCATACCAAGTATGAAGACTCTATCTCCTATGGTTCAAAAGTAATAGCAAAAGTTCGAAAAAGCTATTTTTAGCATATGGGTCAAGGTGTCATTGACCTTGGTGTCAGTTAAAAGTGCTTAATTAGTGGGGTATGCATACCAAATATGAAGTCTCTATCTCTCCTGGTTCAAAAGTTATAGTGTAGGTTAAAGTTGACAACAGACAGACAAACAGCTAAACAGACAAACAGACAGCAGTACTGGAGGTTCTTACTAATGCCCCTGTGGTACCCTTTCTACTGTCTTTCTTCATTACAGTGCCCTGAGTGTGGTTAGGAGAACTGTTAAGGACATACAGACAGCAGTACTGGAGGCTCTGTCTAATGCCCCCGTTGTGCCCTCTCTACAGATAGGAATGATTGGATCCCTGGTGGCCATGTTACAGCATGTCAGGCTGAACCAATCAAAAAGTGAGTTTTTCATTTAAAAGACTAAAGATACCAGGGGAAATAAAATTGTCCTCAAAAATCATACAATATATTTTTTTTTAATTTAAAACTTAAAATTTTAGAGAACTTTGATGTTTTCATTTAATGTTTACCAGTATCCAACTGTTAAATATTTAGAATAATTTTCTTTTTTGAAAATGTCAACTTTCAGGCCTACCTGTACATGTTCATGTAGTGAAACTATTATGTTCAGACATTTAAGATATAGAAGTACACGAAACATAACTTTTTAGAGCTGACAATGATTAGTGGTATTTTCTGCATTTTTCAAAGAGCTGGATGCAGACACTCTATTGGCTGTGTTCCAGACTGGCTGTGAGATTATACATCAGAGTATATTCCAGTTACCCTCTGTCAAAGACCTCACCCCGGGAAGTTCAGGAGAAGTGTGGTTAAAGGTGAGTTAATGAGATGAATACTTTTAGTCCATTGATTAAAGAATTTCCCTTAAAAGGAACAGGAGAAAGTAGTTTGAATCTTATTAATATATCTTTACAATATGTAATAGTAATTTTAAACGGAATAATTTTAAATTTTACAGTCAAATAAAGTTTTAATTCATAAATTCTTTTGAAAAACCGATCTCAAATATTCAAACAGAAAATGTTTGTACGATGGAGATTGGAGAAGCAACCTTACTCAAGTTTTGACCTTATACAAGTATTCTGTGATAAAATTTAAAACAAAAATCTGTTACAGATGGAGGTAGTCAGCTGTTGTTTACTGGAGGAAGTGATCCAACAGTTACCGGACATGTCGTCATGGTTACCAGTTCTACAGGAACACCTTATTATTTCATCCCTCCTTTCCTCTTTAGAATTCTTCATCAAGGTCAGTACAGGAATCAGCCATTTATTTGTTTCAAACCAACTGTTAGGCCTTCCATTTATACTGAATTTGACTCTAAAAAGTTCCATCTACCTGTTCAATATTATAAGCTCACATCAGGTGTGGTTTGTAGTCAGGGGATGTTTACTCCTCCCAGGCACCTGATCCCACCTCTGGAATTTCCAGGGGCCCATGTTTTACACATATTAGTATTCTTTACAGATTTTTTTTTTTAGATTGATAACTTGGTTTTCTTCACCTTTTACATTACAACTTACAAGTTTGGTTTTCATCACAAAAGTACAATGTATTTAGAAATGTAATTTTGCTTACATAAATTAAAATTGACATGTAAATATTAAATGGATTAGCATTATCTAAAGAATATAACATGCTAGATTGAATAGTAAATTCTTCAGTAGCAAAAATGACACATTATTATTACTCTATTTTCTTAATATTAAGAATTTCTCAATTTTTAATTTTTTTCATTAGGGTAAACAAGGCCTGAATTTTGTACACACTGTGATGTTGCTCTTCCTAAGTATTGCAAAGCATGAAAAGGTAAGTCAAATGAATAGACTTTCAGAAAATAACATTGAAAAATATTGATTCATTGGATATACATGTATGTACTTTTAACAGTAATAACTCCTATCATTACTGTTTACAGGGAGCGGAATCTTTAGCCCTTAGTGGACTAACCCAGCATCTGTGTTTAGCTGTCACTAATCTCTATGAGGATCTTGAACCTTCTGCACTAAAACAATCCATGGTAAGATTTTAATTCCTCCTTTCAAACTTCAGTTTGTGAGGCAAATTAATTTTTAAGTTGACAGGAATATCTTACTTATGGCACAATGCTACATGTAGCTTATAAATTCAGAAGTTTTTTTATTACATGTACGTAGATTGATGGATTGTATACAAGTGGTATAAAATGTGAAAATTTATAGAATGTTCAATGAATTAGATTAACACCAAACAGAAGGATAATTTAGCCACACTCTCTTGGCATGGAGTTTACTGCCTTTCTGTGGATCTGTATGCCACCATGTTGTTGGTGCTGAAATTTTCATTCCTTGAGGATGCCTTCCATTTTCTTGGAGCTCACCAGGATCGAATGATTCAGGTACTGATTTTCTATTTCAAAAAACTCAAAAAGAATGGCTATGAATAAATATTAGGAATAATTCATATTGTGGTAATATATGATGCATAAACGTTAAAACTTCTAAGGATTTTGGGACTGTTTTCAGTGTTTTGAGCTATCTAAAGTGCTCCTCCAAGACAATGTATTGTTTGAGGCAGAGAAGACGTGTGATTTTATCTGTCAGCTGTCAGCTTACCTACCTCAATGGAGAATCAGCTCACCCAACTCTGTCCATCAGTTACAGGTAAAAGGATCTCTATATTCCCTATAACTTCTTTAAACATATTATTCTCTTCACTGATTTTGTCGTTTTGGCAAAAGTTGCAGGCAGTGTAGTACTTTTGCAATTTCCTTTCTTGTTTTTTTGTCATATTGGATTTTTTTGCTGTTTCAGGGCAGTGTTTTGTATATGTGTCAGACTTTTGTGGCTTACCTTATGAGCACAAGATATCTACAACATATACTGGAGGTAGGAATAGATCTCAGATAATTCATAAGCTAAACTGAATTTTTTACATATGTACATTTATAAAGATTCCTTCACCATCTTTTACAGAACAGGGCACCAGAAAACCATGTGACCAGACAGAGGCTTCAACAACAGTCCTCTACAGAGGAAGACTTACCGACCAAGAAAGTACTACAAGTAAAAAGAAGGTAAGTATCAATCCAACAAAAAAAGTACTGCTAGTAAAGAGAAGGTTAGTGATGTAGTCAGTCCAACCAAGAAAATACTGCAAGTAAAGAGAAGGTTAGTGTCATAGACAATCTAGTAAGAAAGTCCTGCAAGTAAGGAAGTTAGTCAATTCTTTTGTCATATACTTTCTTAAGAGAATTTTTTTATACCCCCTGCAAATGAAGTTTAGGGGGGGTATACATGTATTGGAATTGGAATCTCTCTGTTTTTCTGTCTGTGGACGAGATTTTGTCCGGACCATTTCTTGAAAACTATTGGAAGGATTTGTCTGAAAATTTGTACACTTATTATACCCCATACAACAAACTGTGGGAGGTATAATGTTTTTGACCCGTCCGCCAGTCAATGTGTCAGTCTGTCAGTCCTGTTTTTTGTCAGCGCAACTCCTCATAAACTGCTGAACAGAATTTGGTCAAACTTTGCAGATATTTAGGACACAATGTGTAGATGTACATATTACCAGGAAATTCTGATTCCTTTATTTTTTGGGGAATTTCTACACTTTTACACTTAGAATTTTGGCCATACCTTGAATATGATGATATTGATGTTTATTTGGTCGCACCTTAGTCCCTATTGGACAGTTCTTGTTTAAGTCATTCCTCCAAAGATTTTATTAAACTTTTTAATGCATTAATTTTTTGTATTCAGTTTTTTTTTATTTGTTTGATCTTGTTGTCCTTTCAGAATGTTAGAAATACTTGGACGAGCATTTTCCATGTTGAGATATTTTACTCCTGAACTTTGTGAAATTTTGTATGAAAGGGTAAGAAAGTATTTAAATGTAGTGTAAGATAAAGTAGAGTTCCTTAGCTTATTTTTGCATGAACTATTTTTTTACCCATTTAATATATGTTCTTTATCCTTAAAGCTGAACACGACTCGTAAATAGGCATACGCCATTTTCGATAGCATTATCTACGATACATCAATACTAGGGTAAACTCGTCGCATTCGTTACAACTGACTGCTTTATTGTCACGAGTATTGGCGTGGAATGGTGACCCGTGTTCGTGCTGGTTATCTTGCATTACCTTTGTTTATATTTTATTGTAGTTACGTTTATCTGTGTTGTTTGAATACTGCACTGACTTATACAACTATAATTGTAAATTTATTTAGTATCTTATTTTCCTGCATTAGACGAAGTATTACGTTATTATTCTCGCTTGCGAGTTCTGTATAGCATACGTCCGTCTACACCGGTGTCGACTGATAAAACTGAACAGTGACTAAGTTCTGCCCTATTAATAGGGGTCTGCAGAGTAGCGAGACTCGGGAACAAAAATGGCGGATAGATTCCTTTTACAAATCGTGTTCAGCTTTAAGAAAACTGTTCATATGTTGATTCTAAAGCTAAACACATGTACATATATGGTTTACTCAGACATAGTTAACAATATATGCACCTGTAACTTTTTAAGCAATTTTTATGCCCCGCCATGAATATGGCCGGGGCATATAGTGTTTGTGATGTCCGTCTTCCGTCTTTCCGTCCTTCTGTCCTTCCGTCTTCCGTCACACTTTGCGTTTAGCTCTGTTCAAAGCTAAGTTTCAAAGAAACTATCCAAGATATTTTCATCAAACTTCATATGCTGATAGATATTGATGAGAGCTATGCAACTGCATCAACATTTTTTGACCCTGACCTTTTCTTTGACCTTGACCTCACTTTTCTTAAATTAGTGTTTAGCTCAGATTTGAACATACCATTCAAGATGGTGTTATCAAACTTCACATGTTGATACAAACTTGCACGGATGATGCATCTAGGGATGAACACTACCAGACTTGCTTTGGATGCTGGATCTGACCTACATTTTCCAGATAAGTGGCCAGGTTAAAGTTTTTGGAGCAGGTCCATTTCCAAGGAACTATAAGCCCTACCCAAACCAAACTTGCATGGATGATGCTTATAGAGATGGACACTACCAGACTTGCTTCGGATGCTGAATCTGACCTACATTTTCATTCCCTAGTAACTATAAGCCCTACCTGAACCAAACTTGCATGGATGATGCATCTAGGGATGGACACTACCAGACTTGCTTCGAATGCGGATCTGACCTATATTTTCATTCCCAAGTAACTATAAGCCCTGCCTGAACCAAACTTGCATGGATGATGCATCTAGGGATGGACACTACCAGACTTGCTTTGGATGCTGGATCTGACCTACATTTTCCAGATAATTGACCAGGGTTAAGTTTTTGGAGCAGGTCCATTTCCAAGGAACTATAAGCCCTACCCAAACCAAACTTGCATGGATGATGCTTATAGAGATGGACACTACCAGACTTGCTTCGGATGCTGAATCTGACCTACATTTTCATTCCCAAGTAACTATAAGCCCTACCTGAACCAAACTTGCATGGATGATGCATCTAGGGATGGACACTACCAGACTTGCTTCAGATGCTGGATCTGACCTAAATTTTCATTCCCAAGTAACTATAAGCCCTGCCTGAACCAAACTTGCATGGATGATGCATCTAGGGATGGACACTACCAGACTTGCTTCGGATGCTGGATCTGACCTATATTTTCATTCCCAAGTAACTATAAGCCCTGCCTGAACCAAACTTGCATGGATGATGCATCTAGGGATGGACACTACCAGACTTGCTTCGGGTGCTGGATCTGACCTATATTTTCATTCCCAAGTAACTATAAGCCCTGCCTGAACCAAACTTGCATGGATGATGCATCTAGGGATTGACACTACCAGACTTGTTTCAGTTGCTGGATCTGACCTATATTTTCATTCCCAAGTAAATATAAGCCCTGCCTGAACCAGACTTGCATGGATGATGCATCTAGGGATGGACACTACCAGACTTGCTTCGGATGCTGGATCTGACCTATATTTTTATTCCCTAGTAACTATAACCCCTACCTTAACCAAACTGATCAAATTTTATACACATACAAATTTTTATGTTGCTTTACTAATATATCCTTGGCGGGGCATTCATGTCCTATGGACATATTTCTAATTGAGATATATAATTTTTGTTTCTAGAATATGGATTATACAGAGCACCATCCATTTTTAGCTGTGGCCTTTACAGCGCCATCTATTGACCAGGAATGTCTGCCATCTTTTGGAACTCTGACATCTTGTGTGAGAGATGTGTGTGTTAGACTGCTAACAAAGGTAAGGTCTAGGTTTTGATTTGTTGTTGGAGAGGGTTCTTTATCAAAAATTATGTCATGTCTCCAGTTGTGTTAATAACTACATTTATCCTGAAGTTCTACAAATTTAGATGCCTTGTCCTCTACCAATTTTTCCAACTGAAAAATGTTGCTTTCAGATTATTTTGAATTTTAGAGGTATACATATATTTTTTTAGCACGAAGTTAAACCAGGCCATTCCCCTCATTCCTTCTCAGATACCAGCTTATTTGATATTATTCCAAAGTAAGATTTATCTAAAAATCTGTGTAATCTGTCTTCTGTTTGATGACTCTTTTTTGGTAGAAATAAAATATTTTTTAAAAAAGTTGTGAGTATTAACAGATTAAAACTTATTAAACTGATCATTTTTAGGTCCTTGATCATGTTTGTGATGGAGAATGCTTTATACATTGTTATGTCACAAGCCATGAGGCTCCTGAGAGACCCAGGTCTGGCACAGACAGACAAACAATTACTGAAAAGAGAGCTGGGTACAGAAATGGTAGGTCATATAATGATACATATATGGTTATGGTGAACATTGGCACACTGAGGTGAAGAAATAACCTTCAGATTCTGTTCATGTAACAAGAGTTTGATGTTTGTACAAGGTGTATATATAGAATTGAAATATTTTAGTCTACCTAAAAATAAAAGGTAATGCAAGTAATTTATGTTTAGAACAGGGAATTTTTGGCTAGTTATACTTATTTCTTTAGTTCACTGAATCTTATATGAAAGCATTCAAACCTAAAAGCAATAACTAAAGGAAATGCATACTATTACATGTACTTAATCCATATACATGTATAACATATTTCCATTTCTAATTTTGTTTTTCTCTGTGATAACTCTTTAAAGTTTGCAGAGTTGATTTCTTGATAATTCTACCGGAATGTAAGTTAGGCAGACTGATAGGTCAGGAGCTAAGATGGCCTAATATGAATGCAAATCTCATGGGCGTCTGTCTCTGCATCTGATGCTAAGGAGGCCAAATATGCATGTAAATCTTGTGCGGCTGTCTTTATGTTTGACGTCAGTGGTTGAGGACTATTGAAATTGGAATGGGAGTCCTCGTGTAATTTAAATCCTATGTCTACATTTTTTAAAATTTATATATCTGCAATTTTATTTCACAGTGAAATAAAAAAAAAAAATAAAAAAAATATGTGTTATTCCATGTGTCCATGTTTCCCACTATTGTTGATGCCCTGACATAGTATACTAACTAGACAGTGATTCCTTAATAAATACAAGGGTTGATCCAAAAGTAATGTCACAGTGTCCATATCTTTTATATTCGGCTTCATATTATCAAATACAATATACCAAAAGATGCACTAATACAAATCTAATAAACATGGAAATTTTCATTTTATAATGTTTATTTAAATTTCTTTTATAGATGTTTAAAACATAAAGCAGAGGGGGTGTCGCCACGTCACAACTTAACGTCACATTTTAAAGTGTATTTTTTCTTAGAATGAAAAATACAAAAATTTAAAAAATTCTAAAAAAGCACCAAATCTCTCATTTTTTTCAAAAAGACACAATTCAAGTCATTTTCTAGTCTTTAATTGAAAATGAAATGACGGCAGTGGTATTTTTGATCATAAACATTGTTGTTTTACTCTCTTGAATTGAACAAAGGGATTGTCGATATGGAGAAAAAACGGTTCGGCGAGTTTAATGCATTTTTGCTTCAAAATATGGGAATCATCACTAGCGACAGTTACGTTAATTGATAAGACTTACAGAATAAAGAATGTAAATAAGAGACTTCTATATAGATGATTTCAGTAATTTTGAGCGGATGATGGTCATTGAATGATCAGCAGAGGGCAAGAAGACCGAAAGATAGGAGATCGGACGTAAACGTTAAATGGTGTCTGACGTTGTCAAAAAACACAGACGGATAGAGCGAAATGTGAATTTGTAAGTTTGCCTTATGCTACTGTTAAAAAGAATTGACAGAGGGCTTAATTATGAAAAGAGTGAGTGTATAATGGTACTACGAATTCGTAAAAAAGTGAAGTTGGTGAAAGTGTTTGCGAATCACAAATATTTTTTTTAATGAGACAAAGTGGAAACGCTTCAAAGTATGACGGAGTGTATCCGTTATATGACGTTATATTTAGGTGCGGCGAGTACCATAAACACACATTGTTTAAAATCCAATATTTTGGAAAGTATACATCATATTCCTTTGAATTTTTCAGATCTGATTTGAAATAAGTAAAGCTTTCATCATGTATAATATTGTTGTTTTACGTCGATTTATAGCAATTTTATCAAAGTTGTGACATTACTTTTGGATCAACCCTCGTACATGTATGTAATTATGGGCAAATATATTTTGCACCAAAACTTTGACAAACTTCCAAAGAAATGCATTCTAAAGAAATACAACATGAAGATACAATTTCATCATCTGCTGATTTTATGTCTCTATTATAAATGATGTATGATATGTTTACAGAACTACTTTTTAATGGAGCTACAGAGATACCTGAAGAGAGGGGCCCCCACTTCTCCCTCCCCAGGCTCCACCCACAGGCAGGCCAGTCCTAAGGGGGCCACCACCCCCAACTTACTGGGTCGCTCCATATCCCAGACAGCACTCATGTCATCACCCGAAATGGAATTCTTTAAATTTGTCCAGGAATTCGTGTCTGCTGTGTTGAAATGAAATAATCTTATATCCATGGATTCATTTATCAAAATGGGATTCACATTTAAACACACTATTTAGCTGTGATGAATTAATTTGATTTAAGTAAAGATTGATTTAGGAGTCATGACAGACCTTGATGCTGGTGATCAGAAGATCAGAGTTTTCTATATAGTCCATGAAGAGTAAACCAAATCTTTATGTGAAGTCTAAGTTGACATTGCTGAGAATTGATGATGATTACCACTTTTGAACTGTGTTCATTACAATGAAGTTGTGTACAGACAGAAATAACATGATAACATGTATGTAACATGTACAGAATTCTGAATAAAATTCTTGAATAAACAGATTGACAGTAGTTTTCAGTATATTTACCCTTGTTATAATTTAATATAAAAATAGAATCTGACTAGATTCTATTTATACTCAGAAAAGTGATTTTAAATTAAGTTTTAATTACATTGCATGAATATTTTCAACAGAATAGAACCACATACAATTACAGGTATGTACAGCATGATATCTAATTCGTCCGAACGAATTTTTAATCTGTCCGAACGAATATCTAATTCGTCCGAACGAATATGTAATTCGTCTGAACAAATAACTAATTCGTCCGAACGAATTTTTAATTTGTCTGAACAAATAATTTTTTTTTACCTGGCCCTCCAGCAGCGCCGTAGTTTGTGGCCCTGACTGCGATATAAATAAAATATATCTCATGCTAATTGAACTTTTAGAGATCTAATTAAATTAGACTGCAAAATTGTTATGAAAAACTTAAGTAAATTGACCATAATAAATCAACATTTAATATATAAAATTGCTTGTAGTCTGTACAGACTTCCAATAAAACAATTTAAGAAAAGCTGTTATTAAGTGAAAACATGTCCACTATTTGCATGCATGTAATGCTATAAAGTACTCTTAATTTATTTTAGTGTAGATATTTAATTTTCTTTACTTTACTTGTACTAATTTGAGCAACAAATAAGTTATCATTTGTATCAGTGCAAAGTCCAAATGGTTCATTTAAACCACAGTATAGGTAACGAAGAAACTGTCCGTCCTGATCTATGATGTGAACACGATGATTGTTACAGTCAGCAGTCAGGATGTGACTCTGACTGTCTGTGGTGATTCCATAGGGACTGAATTCTTTTTTATTTTGAGCAGAAATTAACCCAGTGTATCTAAATCTCAGTTTTCCAGCCTGATTAACCACCACTACTGCATTAGCTCCCCAATCAGACACACAGATATCCAGGTTCTTGTTCTCACTGATGTATTTAGTAAAACTTCCATTAGAGTAGAGAGGTTGACCTTTATCATCAATCTGAATGGTTTGTTTTTCAGTGGAACCAAAGAAACGAACAACTTTTGATTTCCGGTTCTCATCACTATACATGGTAACAAGAAGATCACCGGAGGAAGTATAGCAAACACCTAAAGGTGCCCAGTTCTGTAGTTTTATAACCTCTTCTATCTTTTTATTCTTCACAATGTTCACATTTCTGTTTGATTTATCAGCATAAACTAACTCCCCATTTTTTGTTACTGCTATAGCACTAGGGCCGTTCCCTGATCTAGTGGTAATTGATTGAAGTATTGAACCTTGATTGATGTTGAAGAGTTTTATGCTACTGCTATTGCCTGCTGTCCAGATTTGTTCTTCACTCAGGCAGGCTACTCCATTAGCATTTTCATACTCAGTGTCTATGGTGGTGACAATCTCAGGTTCATCAAGTATTTTCTTGATTGGAGGGAAGGATCCAGCTTCTGGTGATATTTGTTGTAGCTTGCTGTTGTAGCCATATTCCTCTGAAGTAAGTGATAGAGATGAGAGTTTCCCAAAAAGTTGCTGGAATGGTTCTTCCTGAAATTTAATTGGAGTAAAATTTGGAAAAGATGCATCAACTATCGGCGGAAGTTTCCTGAATTTCGCAACTGTGATGTTGTGATGAGTAAACAGAGAGATATCGTTTGACTCTAGAAGCTTGGTCAGTTTTCTGATTTTATCATCAATGTCTGAAATTCTTTGATTTATTTCAGCTCTGTGTTTCTCCAAGGCAGCTTTATGTATAGCTTTCATGTTGTCTACTTCTGCTTTAAGTTTATTGACAAGTTTATCAATTTGTCTGTGCCATTCCTCTCCATGGTTTGTAATGGTTGTTGCGATACCTTCATATCCCTTATCCAACTGACTAATTCTCTTTTCCGCATCTGAGGCAATGTCTTCGTAGATTGGATAGATGCTCTTTCTCATTTCTTCATTTTCTTTTTCAATCTCCATTTTCTTTGTATGGTAAATTTCAATTATTTCTAGAATCTTATGACCAGAGTGGTTTTCAGAGACAATGCAGGCACTACATAATGGAATGTCACATTGTTCACAGTACATATCACAGCGTTTTTTGTCATGCAGTGCACATTGAGGGTGGAGGAGGGTAGATTTCCTGGACTGAAATTTGACGACTTTGTGATCTTTGGATTCATCAGAAATGTGTTCTCCTACACAGGCCTTACACAGATTGACAAGGCATGTATCACAGTGCATCTGTACTACAGCGGTCTCACAAAGGTCACATCGCATCACATCTTGGGCACTGGTGCGGGGGTCCATTTTCGGACTTTTCTGAAAAAATAAAGTTTTCTCAACTTTTATTTGCTGTTATTTAAGATCTGTTCAAGTTTTACATATAAAGGTGCTAATGACCATTAATCACATACGCAGATATACAATGTTGTTTACAGGAAATGTAAAGATCTGAGAAAATACATGTAGTAATTAAATTCTTTATATTTCCTCCCTTTTGTGAGCATACATGTAGTCTGTGTCGAACATGCATTTTTTTTTAAAGATAAACAGCTGAGAGACTTTTGTCAATAATTATAAAGTTATGCATTTGTTGCTATCTATTCAAGGAATGTCCTCAAATACGACCCAGAAATACGACCTAGTCTGATTTTATCATTTATGGGTTTTTTCCCTACTATACATTCCTAAAGCAGCTTTTGAATATATCTTATTAAATGTTTGATTTGCATTAAAATATAAACAAACAAACCTGGTGTCTAAACGGATGATCTGTTTTAAATTGTCTCCTCCATTGTTTGAAAATTAATTTTTGTACATTTAAACTTCCTTATCTATCTGATGGCCACGTGACTTCGCCATTGTAATCTAGAGTAGTTCCTCTTTTCTTCTATAGTAACAGAATTGAAATTGACACCCCCCCAATAAATACATATTTAAAATATTGGAACTAAACTGTAGATTTTAAGATAGAAAACATTGAAGAATACAAGATCTATGTAAATACCATTACAAGATATATACATTGTTTAAAGAAGCATTACATGTATTACTTGTTGCTTTATTTTTTCTTTTCGAAATTGAATAAAATGTGAAGGAAATTTTTTTTAACAAGTGATCATTATTTCATTTTGATTGATTGATTGTATACTGTTTAACGTCCCTCTCCAGAATATTTGATTTTGAAAGACTGATCATTTTTAGGTCTTTGATCATGTTTGTGATGGAAATGCTTTATACATTGTAATGTCACAAGCCATGGGGCTCCTGAGAGACCCAGGCCTGGCACAGACAAACAAACAGTAACTGAAAAGAGAACTGGTTACAGAAATGGTAGCTAATATAAAATATACGATGTATATTGTAATGTCACAAGCCTATGAGGCTCCTGAGTGACCCAGGCCTGGCTCAGACAGACAAATACAGTAAAACTCGTTTAGTACGAACACGGATATAGCGAATTCACGGATATAGCGAAGTTATCTTGGATCCCCAAGCTATGTGAACTTAACGTATAACTTTTACGGATAACAAATTATGGATATAGCGAAGTAATTTAATAGGTCCCAGTGACTTCGCCATAACTGAGTTTCACTGTAGTTACATGAAAGAGAACTGGTTACAGAAATGGTAGCTAATATAAAATATACGATGTATATTGTAATGTCACAAGCCATGAGGCTCCTGAGAGACCCAGGCCTGGCTCAGACAGACAAATAGTTACTTAAAAGAGAACTGGTTACAGAAATGGTAGCTAATATAACAAATATGTCTTCGATAATAAAGAACATTGGTAAACTGAGGTACAGCTATAACCTTCAGGTTTTATTTGTGTAGCAAGTGAAGAATGTGTGTATACATACATGTAGGATTGAATTATTCTATGTTTACTAATCTCCAAATAAAAGATAATGTAAGTTATTTATACGAATTTACGTTCATGGGAATCTCTGGCTAAACTCATTGTTAGATACTTTTTTCTTCACTGAATACAAAAAGCAATGTCAAAAGGTTAACCATATGCTGATTTTATGTCTCTGTTATAAACAATGTATGATATTTTTTACAGAATTACTTCTTAATGGAGCTACAGAGATACCTAAAGAGAGGGGCCCCCACTTCTCCCTCCCCAGGCTCCACCCACAGGCAGGCCAGCCCTAAGGGGGCCACCACCCCCAACTTACTGGGCCGCTCCATATCTCAGACAGCACTTATGTCTTCACCCGAAATGGAATTCTTTAAATTTGTTCAGGAATTTGTGTCTGCTGTGTTGAAATAAATGAGCTTATACCTTTGGATTTATTTATATAAGTGGAATTCACATTTGAATGCTTGTTTTAGCTGTGATGATTTAGTTTGATTTATTAATAAGTATAGATGAATTGAAGAGTTATGACAGAACTTGATTGTAGTGGTCAAAAGGTCAGAGTTTCCTAAATAATCATAATGAGTAAACCAAATCATTATGTGAAGTCAAAGTTGACATTGCTCAGAAATGATGATTACCACCTTAGAGCTGTGTTCATTACAATGAAGTTAGTATACATACAGAAATAACGTGGTTACATACATATACATGTTAATTGAATATATTGTAACATGTACAGAATGCTGAATAAAACTCTTGAATAAACAGTTATAATTTAATTTAGAAAAAAAGAAGGGGAATAAATTATATTCGTATTCAGAAAAGTAATTTTAATATGCATAGATATCTGAAACAGAATAGAATCACAAATAAGCACAGGTATACACAGCTTAAAGAAATATATCTGTTACATGTAAATGCACAGGTAACTCACAGGTACTGTATTACATATTAAATGTATTTGATATTTGGCTAAAATGTATTTAACAAAACTTCAAAGTGTTCACTCTAGAAAATGTTTTTATTTAAAAGTACATGTAGTTTTTAAATAAACATTCGCAAAATGACGATTGAGAAAGAAGAAAGAGCCGCTGGAATGAGGACATCTTGATCATCTTTGCACCCTGTTTTGTTTTTATTTTAGTATTTAATTTTCCTTGATATAACTTCAAAAAATTAACAACCAGTATCCAAACCCATTTAAACCCATTTTTCTATAGACTGTACGTCATTTTCAGTGCCAAATTATCACAATATGAAAGCTGAGGACCAAAATAAACCAAACTGGAAATGATCTGGATCTTTATCTGAGGCCAAGGGTTTGCATCACACCAGGTTAAAAGAGTGTTAAATTGTCCTGAAACAATTTTAGAAACATGAAAACAAACAATTTTAATCGTATGAAAATGATAAGAAATCGGTACTCATGGTAGTCTAATATCATCTCAAATAGTCTAAATCATCCTTAAAGCGGTGTACTTACGTTCTAAACGCCCAAGGACCAAAAGGCATTTGTGTGATGATGCACTGCCAAATCCCCGGATTTAAATCCCATTGAACACATTTGGAATATTTATAAAACATGTCAACCCCCCTCCCCCTTTCCACACAATTTTAACGGTTTGGAAAGATCTAGGCATTACGTGTGACAGCAGATGGGCCAATCTCCTATTCAGGGGTACATAGTATCCAACAGTAAAGGATGTCCTGCAGTCATTAGAGCGAGTGGTAGTCCTACTCCAGAGTGAAATATGCATCATTTAAAACTTCAAAAAATGATAGGTAAACACTTAGAAGCTTCGTTCAGTGTATAATTTTTTTTTAAAAATCAGTTTGATTTAGAAAGTTTTGCAATGCATATTTCATAATATTTTTTGATAAACACCAATGTACTCGATTGCCTTCTGCCAAATACGGGAGATCAGAGACTTTTCATGACACGGTCACATGCTTCTTAGTACTTATTATATACCTAATGTGTATCACTCAATTTTACTGTTGAATTTACGCTATCACGTGACGTCGTGATCCGATTTTCCGGATCACCAACATGTTGCTTTCTGAATCCATATCACCACTCTCTGAAACTGATGACGTAGTACGCAGAAACGTGACGTTATTTTTCTTGCGCGTTAAAAAGTCCCTTGTTATAACGCTTTGTTTAATGGATAAATATTATAGAATTCATCTCTAAAGTTTTATTTTGCCAAATAGAGCTAGTTATAAATGGGTATATAATAAATTTATCATTATAACAGTAACTTGATCCGAAGAGCCGTATCACGTCTCGTTGACAGGCGCGGATCATCAGATCAAACTCGACGCTTCGCGTCTCGTTTGATCTGACGATCCGCGCCTGTCAACTCGACGTGATACGACCCTTCGGATCAAGTTACTGTTATAATAATACATATTTATATTTATGCACCTTTCTGTATCTCTCTGTTCAAATCATGACCCCGCCCCCCCCCCCCCCCCATGATTAACCACATTCTTAGTTTAGATTCAAAGTATTAATTCAAGACATAGCCCCCTTTCCCTTTTAGGGGTTAGTCAGGACAACTTGTGCATCTAAGCTATCCAATATTTTGATTTGATTTTTGTTTTGCCACAGTCAGATGGCCCATGATCCATGTTTGTTAATCATAATATATGTTCAGATGATTCTTGTGAGCAGTTTGCCATTCATAATTATGCAAAAATGCAATTATCATTGTGATTTACAGTATGCTGAATAGAATGCACATCAAAATGTAACGGTACAGAGTACATGTACAAATAAACAAGGGCACCAAAAGGCAGAGCATTACCTGACAAAAAGCATCTTTTTTTCCAAAACTGAGTGTATAATTTTAATAATTTTAAACTCCTATGTCCAGCACAGATTTATCATTTCAATTGCTGTTTGTGTTAGTAATGGAAAAATAAAATTGATTTTATAATGGATATAAGTAATTTTTATAATACCGAATACATTAATTGATTTTTTAAAAAGCATTTATTCCTCTCAACAATGATTTTTGATGCATCAACTAATATAGAGAATGGTCTCGGGTAAAATATTTTCATGGATGATATCTGTGCAGTGATTAAAATTAACAAGATTTGTTTGTGAATCACTGATACCCCTGTATGGCAAAATAGCGAAGATTAAACTTTTCTTACGTGCAAACTCCCTGGAAACACAATTCTGAAACATGAAAGTAGGCCAAGGTTAAAGTTTTTTCATAAGTACGGAAATCTCCCAGGTCAAAGTTAAAAGATCAAGGTAATTGGTATCCAATGAAAGGGTTTTCCACAAAAAACATATGTGATGTAAGGAAGCCCTAGCCCTAACCCTTCAAAAGTTATGGCCAAGGTTAAAATTTTTAAAAAGTAGGCCTAACTCAAAGGTCAAGGACAAAGGGTCAAAGTTCTTGCTATCAAATGAAAGATCTTGTCACAAGGATTTTATATGTAAAAATGAAAGCACTAGCCCTTACCCTTAAAAAGTAATGGTCAAGGTTTGCTTTTAAAAGGTAGGTCAAATACAGTGTATATTTCTGGTACATGAATAACACTCAAGAAAAGATAGCTGCTTGTAGTTTATACATACTACCAATAAACAAATTATGGAAAGGCTGTTATAAAATGAAAAAAAATGTTCAATATTTGTATGCCTGTAATGTCTACAAAGTGCTCTTAATTGATTTTAATGTAGATATTTAATTTTCTTTACTTTACTATTTCCACGCAGAGCAACAAATAAGTTATCATTTTTATCAATGCACACTCCAATGGGTTGACTTAAACCACAGTATATGTAACTGATAAACTGTCCGTCTTGGTCTATGATGTGAACACAGTTATTGTCATAATCAGCAGTGAGGATGTGACTCTGACTGTCTGTGGTGATTCCATAGGGACTGAATTTTCTTTGATTTTGAGCTGAAGTATTGCCAGTATATCTAAACCTTAACTTTTCAGCATGATTAACCACGATTACTGCTGTAGCATTCCAGTCAGAAACACAAATATCAAGGTTCTTGTTCTCACTGATGTATTTAGAACCAGATGAATATGAATAGAGAGGTTGACCTTCATCATCCCACTGAATGATTTGTTTCTCTGTTAAGCCTGAGTAACGGACAACTTTCGAGTTATAACCAATACTACATATGATATCCAGAAGATCACCAGAGGAGGTGATGCAGACACCTTTAGGTTTCGAGTTCTGTAGTTGGATCACAGTCTCTATCTTTCTATTCTTCACAATGTTCACAGAGGCTTCATATTCATCAGAATAAACTAGTTCCCCAATTTTTGTCACTGCTATAGCATCAGGACTCCTCCATGATTCAGTGTTAATTGTTTGAAGCAGTGTACCTTCATTGATGCTGAAGAGTTTCATGCTGCTGTTATTGCCCGCTGTCCAGATTTGTTCATCACTCAGACAGGCCACATTGTACAGATATCCAAACTTAGTGTCTATGGTGGTGTCAGTCTCAGGTTCATTAAGTAACTTCTTAACTGGAGGGGAGGATCCAGCTTCTGGTGATATCTGCTTTAGCTTGCTGTTGTAGCCATTTTCTTCTGAAGTAAGAGATAGAGTGGAGAGTTTCCCAAAAAGTTTATGGAACTGCTCTTCCTGAAATTTCATGGGAGTAAAAACTGGAAAAGATGCATCAACTTTCGGCAGAAGTTTCCTAAATTTTGTAATTGTGTTTTCATGATGAGTAAACAGAGAGATATCATTTGACTCCAGAAGCTTGGCCAATTTTCTGATTTCATCATCAATGTCTGAAATTCTCTGATTTATTTCAGCTCTGTGTTTCTCTAAAGCAGAGTTGTGTCTAATTTTCATTTTGTCTACTTTTTCTTTAAGTTTCTTGACAAGTTTATCAATTTGTCTGTGCCATTCCTCTCCATGATTTGTAATTGCTGTTAAGATACCTTCATATCCCTTATCTAACTGGCTTATTCTCTTCTCCACATCTGAGGCAATGTCTTGGTAGGTTGGATAGATGCTCTTTCTCATTTCTTCATTTTTACTTTCAATCTCCATTTTCTTTGTATTGTAAATTTCAATTATTTCTAGAATGTTATGACCAGAATGATTTTTAGAGACAATGCAGGCACTACATATTGGAATGTTGCATTGTTCACAGAACATTTCACAGCGTTTGTTGTCATGTAATGTACATGGAGGGTGGAGGAGCGTAGATTTCCTGGACTGAAATTTGACGACTTTGTGATCTTTGGATTCATCAGAAATGTGGTCTCCTACACAGGCCTTACACAGATTAACAAGGCATGTATCACAGTGCATCTGTACTATAGCAGTCTCACAAAGGTCACATCGCATCACATCTTGGGCACTGGTGCGGGGGTCCATTTTTGGACTTTTCTGTAACATGAAACATTTTTTTTTTATGTTCTCCATGTATTATTACTGCCCATCAAGATTTATGTAAGTATTACATACAAACATAGAAGTGACCATATAACACATAGGCAGATCTAAAATGTTATTTGCAGGAAATGTAAACTTCTGAGAAATTCCCTTTGTGTCTTTCCTTTTGTCAGAAAACATGAAGTACGTGTGCAACAATTAATTTTAGCCTCAATGGTTTTGTTGATAATTACAAAAGCTGTGCATATGTTGATATTCAAGAAAATGAACTTGAAGTTTTGTTGAAGTTCAGCATGTGCAAAAAATTTATATTTACGATAGCTACAAAACTGTGGTGTACATTAAAGTGAGAACTTTTACAGTTTTTAAATATTTCATTGATTAGCAGTTAGAAAGTGTCACTTGATATCAATTGCTCAAAAATATTTATAGAGTAAATTCTTTTTACAATGGTTATATTTAAAATAAAATACACCATACTTTAGCTAACTAATCGCTGAAACTCTATTTGTTTATTGATGATGGGCAAGTTGGACTATAATAAACTCTGGAAAGTTGTTTTCCCTGTTTATTTGGTCTAAATCCTAAGATTTGATTTATTTGGTCTAAATCCTAAGATTTGAAACAGAAAGTACATTGCAAATGGCGGATTCTATAGGGTCTTGTCTTTATACATGCCATGCTTTCAATAACAGCTTCAGAGACCATTCATGTTCAACGTTCCTTTATTGATAAACATATATCATTTTTGCAATTTTGGTTTTCACAAAAAATACACAATTAAGCAGGTGCATTTTTTTTAAAATATGTAAATTTTTTGAGATATTTTTTTCGCCAAAAATATTTTTTTTTATGTATTTGTTTTCAAGTGATACTTTACATCTGTTTATCAATGATATATTTATAAATTGTGAAAGCGTTAACTTTTCCCTGTCATAGTTTTGTAGCTATAGATAAGTTTTTGCACATCTTGACCTTTGGCAAATTCTTAAAAGACCTAGCCTGATTTTATCGTGAATTTTTTAAAACTGTTTCTACTACATGTACGATCCAACAGCATCTTTTGAATATTTTGTATTTTTATTTAAAAATAAACATACAAACCTGGAATCAGTATTACATAAAATATGTCTCCTTAAAATTATTTGTTTCTGTTAAACTTCCTTTTCTACCTGTAGTTACCTAATGGTCATGTGATTTCACCACAGTATTCTAGAGTTGTATTGTAGAGTTGTCCTTCTTTTCTAGCTGTTACGAGCTTTAACCCCCCCCCCTTGTAATGGCAAGTAATTGAAAATGTTGATATTATTTCTTTTCAGAATGTTAGATATACTAGGACATTTTCCATGTTGAGATATTTTACTCCTAAACTTTGCGAAAATTTGTATGAAAGGGTAAAAAGTATTAAGCTGTATAATAAGATCAAGTGGAATTTCTTTATCCTTAGGGAAAACGACCATATGTTTATTCTAAAGCTAACACATACATGTACATGTACGGTATATTAACATATAGTTAAAAATATGCACCAGTAATATTTAAGCATGTTTTAAGATACTAGTATACAGGGTGTTTCAGCAAACATGTCCCGACTTTGTGGTTTCAATATCAAGTTAAGCAGTATAAACGAAAGCATTTTTTGCAAAAATGAAAACCACATGACCAAACAATTTTATCAATATGAAAGTTGAAGTAATTCTGAATCAATTATTTTTTTAAGACAAACATTTTTAAAGATTGAACGCCAGCAGCACTTTTCAAATTAACGTCATTTTTACGTGTTCTAAAAAGTCACAATATTTTCAGTCAGCATCCTCATTTTGTGTCTGAAGTCCTTTATGACATATATTTGGACATTTTTAATGAAAAGTCTGTTTCATAGAAAGATGGTTTTCATGTGAGTACTTTTTAACAAAATCTTAAGCACTAATATTGGTGATCTCTGAAATTTTCTGTTTGTATTGTTTAGTTTATGAAAATCAATAGATCCATTTTTGAAGAAAAAAAAAAGACTGAAAAACTAATTTTTCTAAATGTAACCAAAACTTTATATGAAAAAATGTAATGATTTTATTTTATATTGTTTATATTATGATGATATTGCAAGAAAATGGGCTTTAAACTATAGTTATTATTTTATAAATATATTATTATTGTGCAAAACTGTAGACATAAAAAGTCGGGACATGTTTGTTGAAACATCCTGTATAATTTGTTTTGATTTACCAAGAATATGGATTATACAGAGCACCAGCCATTCTTAGCTGTGGCCTTTACAGCGCCATCCATTGACCAGGCATGTCATTCATCTTTTGGAACCCTGACATCTTGTGTGAGAGATGTGTTTGTGTTAGACTGCTAACAAAGATAAGGTCTAATTAACTGGATTTTAATTTGTTGTTGTAGAGGATGCTTAACTAGAAGTTATGTAGTGTCTCTACTCACATTATAAAGAAGACTACATTTATCCAGAACATTTTCAGGAACAAATTTGATATTGATTATTCATTTATTAGAGATTGCAATGTTTAGAATTATTGATGACCAAAGTATGGTGCCTGTCAAGCAAAAACACACCATTATTAAATTTTTAAAAAATATGTCTAGGGGTTTATATTTACATTTTTGTTTTTCTCTCTTTTAGCCTGAAGTTAAACCAGGCCATTCTCCACATTCCTCCTCAGATACCAGTATATTTTATGTCATTCCAAAGTAAGATTTAACTTATCTAATAATCTGTGTTACTGTCTTTGGTTTGAAGACTCTTTCTTGGTGAAAAATACGTTTTAAAAAGTTATTTGTAGGTCCTTGATCATGTTTGTGATGGAGAATGCTTTATACATTGTAATGTCACAAGCCATGGGGCTCCTGAGAGACCCAGGCCTGACACAGTTTTGTTTTGTTTGTGTTTAAAGAAAAGAATGTGTTTTATTTTATGTTTTCCTAAAAATGAAACCTCAAAATAAAAGGTAATGCAAGAGGCCCCAATTTCTCCCTCCCCAGGCTTCACCCACAGGCAGGCCAGTCCTAAGGGGGCCACCACCCCCAACTCACTGGGCCGATCCATATCCCAAACATCACTCATGTCTTCACTCGAAATGGAGTTCTTTAAATTTGTCCAGGAATCTGTGTCTGCTGTGTTGAAATGATATGAGCTTATACCCTTGAGTTCATTTATCAAAAATAAGATTCACATTTGAATGTTTGTTTCAGCTGTGATGAATTTATTTGTTTTAGCTTATATGGATGAATCGAGTCATTAGAGACTTTGATACAGCTGGTAAAAAGGAAATAAGAGATCTCAAATAATCCACGAAGTTTATATCAAATCTTGATGTGAAGTCTTATGTTGACAATGTTGAGAAGTGCTGATATCCACCTTAGAGTTGTGTTCATACCTATGAATTACTGATATGGACAGAAATAACATTATTACAAACTTGTTAACAAAACATATATTTTCTACTTGTAAAGAATGAGGAGTTAAACTTTTGAATAAACGGTAGATTATGAGTTTGCCTCATATGTTTATTCATTTAAAGATTTATAGGTTCCATAACTATCGCAAGTTTTCTCAAACTCTCATTTCCTTATTTTAATTTTCAAGAGATGCAGTACTTGCAAACCTGTTTCTCCCATTCTGCAAATAACGTATGTTTGGTAAATAAACAAGGCACTGAAGAAGGTGCCTATTTTGCTGGTATTGTACAGTTATCTCAATTTGTCAAAATGAAAATAGAAGTGTAAACATTTCTTGCTTACGTCTGAACCTGTATTTTTGTCATCATACCTATATAACATGAAATACAGCCAGTTTAGATTGCCTTAGATATATGTATAAACAACCCATAGGAATTGTCTTTATTGTTTCATTTTCATCCCTTATCTTTTTCAAATCATTGATCTTTTATTTCAAAGAACAGATTTGAGATTTTTTGGCTGTATCATACTGACAAATCCAATTCTGAAAGCATGCGAGTGATATTTTTTGTCACCTGATCAATTAATTTCATATGAAAATATATGCTTCTTAGTTTCAGGTTGGACAAACTAGGACTAATCTGTAAATTGTGCCTTTCATTGTAAAATTAGAAAATATTGGCCAGATCTGTGCATATATTAAATTGGGCAGAGCCATGATTCTTTTGATGTGGATGCTCAAGTGGAAGGGGATTTGAGGGCTGTCCAGTGTGAAGTCCTGGTGGAACTCGATCAGGAGGCGAAACCTCCGGAAGCTAGCAATGTCGGTTCCAGTAATCTTGAAAAGAGGGGGTCAACCAGATTGGGGTCAAGGAAAGGGGCCCACAGCCACACCAATCACACAATTTCTTTTATTAAATCGTATATTTAAGATAGAAAAAAGGGGATGCATGGATTGCCCCCACCTCATGGCCCCCTCCAAATCCGTTAGGTAAGCTGACACTTATGTTGAAGGATTCTGGGATAGTGTAGATTCTATAATTGTTAAAATCATAACCCCTGGGTCTATTAATGTTGGGAATCTAATATTGTTTTTATAATGCATGTAAGTAATTTTTATACTACAGATTACATTAATTAATTACTTTAAAAAAAACATTCATTCCTATCAAAGATGATTTTTTGACACACCAACTATATAAAATAGTTGAATTTACACAATGTTGTGTAAATATTAAAGAGGCTGGGGGTGGGGGATGGGGGTTGCAGCCATTTTTAGACTATTTCAATCTCCTTTAAAAGGAGAGCTCCATATAAAGATATACAAAAATGATCAAATTTTAAAACTAAAATGTATGAATTTTTTCTTTGTCAAATGATAGTTAACAGCTAAAGATACCGTATCTAAAAAAATAAATTAAATCTGGTGGTAAATTTGGTATTAATTTGTTGTTCCAGCCTCCTTAATATGGGTGTGCAGTGATTAAAATTAAAAAGAATAGTGGCAAACATATACCTGAAAAAGGAAAAAAAAAACCCAAACATGATATATTTAAACAGAGACTATGGTGACTGTACTATATATATTGAATTTTCATTTTTTTTTACATATCGCTAGATCGGTCACAAATAATATCTTTTTTGGTACATGAATCAATCTCAAGGAAAGATGACTGTTTTTATTCTGTACAGACTACTGTGAAATCACTTATATTCGTGGGGGTTTAATCTTCGTTGTTTTTGAGGAATGGAAAGACCCGTGAAACCGTTACCACCATGAAATGAAAAAAAAATCCTTATTTTTCAACACTTCCCCACACATCAATACTTTTTTCTCAACCTCGAAATGACCCAACGAAAATATGTGATTTGACAGTAACCATAAACAAATTGAGGAAAGGCTGCCATAAAATGTCTTTATGAAATGTCCATTATTTGAATGCATATAATTCTATAAAGTACTCTCAATTCGATTTTAGTGTAGATATTTTATTTTCTTTACCTGACTCTTTCCATTTTGAACAACAAACAAGTTATTATATTTATCAGTGCAAAGTCCAATAGGTTCATTTAAACCACAGTATAGGTAACGGAGAAACTGTCCATCCTGGTCAATGATGTGAACACATTGATTTTCACAATCAGCAGTCAGGATGTGACTCTGACTGTCTGTGGTGATTCCATAGGGACTGAATTGCATCTTATTTTGAGCAGAAGTATGCCCAGTGTATCTAAACCTCAGTTTTCCAGCCTGATTAACAACCACTACTGCTTTAGTCCACCAATCAGACACACAGATATCCAGGTTCTTGTTCTCACTGATTAATTTAGTACAACAGGACGTTGAATAGAGAGGTTTACCTTCATCATCAGACTGAATGGTTTGTTTCTCTGTAGAGCCAGAGTAACGGACAACTTTTGATATCCCAGAATCATCACTATACATGATAGCAAGAAGGTCACCAGAGGAAGTGATGCAGACACTTAAAGGTTTCCAGTTCTGTAATTTAATCAGCACTTTTATCTTTTTCTTCTTTACAATGTTAACAGACATGTCATATTCATCAGAATAAACTAGCTGTCCGCTTTTTGTCACTGCTATATCACGAGGCATGTTTCCAGACTTTGTGGTAATTGACTGACACAGTGTACCTTGATTGATGTTGAAGAGTTTCATGATGTTGCCAATGACTGCTATCCAGATTTGTTCTCCACTCAAACAAGCCACACTTCCAGTGCATTCATAACCAGTATGTATGGTGGTGACGGTCTCAGGTTCATCAAGTAACTTATTGACTGGAGGAGAGGATCCAGCTTCTGGTGATATCTGTTTTAGTTTGCTGTTGTAGCCATGTTCATCTGAAGTAATAGATAGAGTAGAGAGTTTCCCAAAAAGTTTATGGAACTGTTCTTCTTGAAATGTCATTGGAGTAAAATTTGGAAAAGATGCATCAACTTTGGGTGGGAGTTTCCTGAATTTTGTAACTGTGTTTTTGTGATGAGTAAATAGTGACATATCATTTGACTCCAGATGCTTGGCCAGTTTTCTGATTTCATCATCAATGTCTGAAATTCTCTGATTTATTTCAGCTCTGTGTTTCTCCAAGGCAGATTTATGTATATCTTTCATGCTTTCTACTTCTGTTTTGAGTTTCTTGACAAGTTTATCAATTTGTCTGTGCCATTCCTCTCCATGTTTTGTAATTGCTGTTAAGATACCATCATATCCCTTATCTAACTGACTAATTGTCTTCTCCACATTTAAGAAAATGTCTTGGTAAGTTGGATATATGCTTTTTCTCATTTCTTCATTTTCTCTTTCAATCTCCATTTTCTTTGTACTGTGAATTGCAAATGTTATGACCTGAATGATTTTTAGAGACAATGCAGGCACAACACATAGGAATGTCACATTGTTCACAGTACAGCTCACAACGTTTTTTGTCATGCAATGTACACAGAGGGTTAAGGAGAGTAGATTTCCTGGACTGAAATTCGACGACTTTGTGATCTTTGGACTCATCAGAAATGTGTTCTCCTACACAGGCCTTACACAGACTAACAAGGCATGTATCACAGTGCATCTGTACTATAGCAGTCTCACAAAGGTCACATCGCATCACATCTTGGGCACTGGTGCGGGGGTCCATTTTTGGACTTTTCTGAAAAAAATTGTGTTCTTTATTGCTGCTATTTAAGCTTTATTCAAGTTTAACATATAAAGATGTTTCTCATTAGCATATCTAAAACGCTAGTTTAAGGAAATTTTAACATCTGAGAAATTACCAGTTGTAATTACACTGTTTAGGATTTTGAATTTTCTTTTGCCTTTGTATTTTTCTTTTTATAAGTATACGTGTAGTCTGCATTGAAGACATTGCAATTATTTAACTCCAAATATTTGCAGTATCTGTTCATTTTCTTTGCAGAGGTTGCACATATTGAAATGAAATATGGTATACAGATTTATTAGAATATCTGGGTTAGCTTCTGTTTTGGGTATAATTTAGCCATTTTTGACAGAGTTATGCCCCATGAACATAGAAAAATTCCTATTATTTTCAGTTTTCGTTCATTTTCTTTGCAGAGGTTGCACATATTGAAATGAAATTTGGTATACAGATTTATCATAAGAATTTTTAGGTTATTGTCTGTTTGGGTACGATTGAGCCATTTTTGACAGAGTTTTGCCCTTTTGGACTTGAAAAAATTCTATTTTTTTCAGATAAACAACTGAAAGGATTTAACTTTTTAATTACAAAAGTTGTTTATTTATAATTGCTTTCCAAGGAATGTCCTTAAATATGACCTAGATATATCGGTACTTCCTATCGTAAAACTTTTTTTCTACTACCAGTGAACAGCAGCTTTTGAATACATTTTTCGGAGTTCCTTGATTTGCATGTAAAATAAATATACCAACCTGCTGTCTGTATGAAGCTTCTTTAATTACCGATCTCCTACCTAGGTTGAGATTTCAATTTATCTTCTAAACTTCCTGGTGCACATGTGCCTTCACCATTGCAATTAAGAGTTGTCATTCTTTTCTTGCTTTAACAAAACTGACAGTGAAATGCAAAGCCCCCTCTCAACCCCCCCCCCCCCCTTTCCAGTAACTTCACAAATCATCAAAGTGGAAAATATCAAATAAAAAAATGGCTAGGCAAATAACATAATATTACATGTATAAAGTTTAGCATTATTATTTGTCACTTCGTTTTTTCAAATGAATAAAATATGATGAAAGCTGATAGGTAGAAGCAGGAGATGACTGATCTGAGCTTTGTGGACTCCATTGAGTTGAAGATCTATTATTAAGGTGGATTGTTTTCATATTTCTTGTATTTAAAATTTAATGAAATTGTCACAGAATCAAGAAGACAACATCACTAAGTGAAGGTCTTGTCGAGGTCATTACCTTTTCCCTGGGCAATAAGAATGTAATTTTACTGTTGTCAGTCATGCAATATGCCTACTTTTATTTCTGTGTTGAAATGAAATAATCTTTAACCTTTGGATTCATTTGTCAAAATGTAATACACATTTGAATGCTTGTTTCAACTGTAAAGAATTGATTTAAGTAAAGATTAATTGAAGAGTCATGACAGAACTTGAAACTGGTGCCATGGTGGTCAGAAGAAATGAATTTTCTAAATAATCAATGAAGAGTAAACCAAATCTTTATGTGAAATCTAAGTTAACATTGATGAGAAATAATGATTACCACCTTAGAGCTGTGTTCATTACAGTAAAGTTCGTGTACATACTATACGAAAATAACGAGGTTACATTCATGTTAAAAGAATATTATGTAACATGTACAGAATGCTGAATAAAATTCTTGAATAAACAGATTATTTACCCTTGCCTTAATTGAATAAAAAAAGAATCGGACTAACTCTATTCGTATTCAGTAAGGTAATTTTAAATGAAGTATTTATTACATTGCATAGATATCTGCAATAGAATAGAACCACATACAATTGCAGGTATACCCAGCTTAAAGAAATACAATATATCTGGTACAAGCCTTTCCTTTTTTGGCCATATTTTTGAGGCCACCTATTTTGCCAAATTATATTTATGTAATAGTCTTATACTGGGAGACCAATTGTTATTGCATAATTGTATCATAATTTTTTCTCAGGAATTGTGTTTTAAGGTTACATTGTCTCCCAGTCTTTTTTATTCAGTTTTATGTATTATATTATATGTTGTCATTTCATAATAAATGACATTTTTCTGGAACAAACATGTCTTGTGTTATTTGGCAAAAAACAAGCTCAATGTTGTCAGTTGAGTTTTTAATTCAAGGAATGAAAGCTGAACTTAAATACAATATATCTGGTACATGTAACTTACAGGTACTTTGTTACATATTAAATATACAGTAAATCAAACCGATTAAAAAAAACAAAACATTTCCGCTAATAACAAATACAAAAAGATTTTGCAATATATATCTAATGATCTTTTTTTGATAAACATTTAGCAATGTACATTTACTTGATTGCTTTCTACCAAATACGACAGAGCAGAGACTTTTCATAACACGGTCACATGCTTATTCGTACTTGTTTTATTTTTTTGCACCTTTTCTGTATCTGTACAAATCATGACCTGGAGGGGGGGGGGGTTAAGAATGAAAGCCACAGTAAGTCGATGAAATATATAAATATTCTTAGTTAGTTTACATTTAAGGTATTATTTCAAGTCCTAAACCCCTCTCCCTTTTTTGGGTTGGTGGAGACTACTTGTGCATTTGAGCTTTCCAATGTTGGATTAATTTTTGCTTTGCCACAGTGCTCAACTGAGCAATGTGGCACATGGTCCATATTTATTAAATATAGTGTATGTGAGAAAGATTCTCATGAGCAGTTTGTCATTCATAATTATGCAAAAATGCAATAAAGTTGTACACATCAAAATGTAACGGGTACAGAGTACATGTATATCTAAACAAGGGCACCAGAAGGCTGAACAATACCTAGCAAAAAGTTTATCTTTTTCCCAAGACTGTGCGTATAATCAAAATAATTTGAAACTTGTATGTCCAGTACAGATTTATCAATTTTATTGCTGTTAGTGTTAGTGTTGGGAAAAAAATAGAATTGCTTTAATAATGGACACATGAAATAGTTATTTCTATCAAACAGAATGAAGATTAATGAAACATTTAAAAATCATTTATTTTTATCAAAAATGATTTTTTTTACGCCTCAACTGTGCAGAAAATAATGTCAGGTAAAATATTACCATTGATAATATCTGTGCAGTGACTAAGACTGCAGTGGTAAACATGATACCTTGAAAAAAGATAAACACATCCCAAAAGGATATATTTGAACAAAGAGACTATAGTTAACACTACATATTTATTTTAAATTATCACACATGACTTACATATGTCATAAATATAACATTTTTTTCTAGCATATGAAATAAATCTCTGGAAAAGATAATTGTCTGTATTCTGTACAGACTACCCATAAACAATTTAGGGAAAGGCTGCTATAAAATTAAAACATGTCCAATATTTGCATGCCTACAATTCTGTAATTAGTACTCTTAATTAATGCTAGTGCAGATTTAATTTTTTTTACTTGACTCTGTCTTTACAGAACAACAATGAAGTTTGTATTTGTCATAAATATAACATATCCTGATACATGTACATGATTGTATGTTAATCATGCAGAAACATACACTATTTTTTTTTATTATGATAAATTCTTTGTCAGGTTCGAGAATTAACTGTTTGAATTTATTGTAAATATTGGGTTTTCTCTATTTGATTTTTAATTAAAATTAGTGTATTTAGAAACAAATGAGTAATCATTTGTATCTTGGCGTAGTCCAATAAGTTCGCTTAAACCTCAATATATGTAATAGAAAAACTGTCCGTCCTTGTATATGATGCGAACATGGTTATTGTAATGATCAGCTATGAGGATGCGACTCTGGCTGTCTGTGGTTATTCCATAGGGACTGAATTCTTTTTCATTATAAGAAGTTAGCCCATTGTATCTCAACCTCAGTTTTCCAGCCTGATTAACCACAACTACTGTATTAGCATCCAAATCTGACACACAGATATCCAGGTTCTTGTTCTCACAGACTATTTAGAACAAGATGAAGCTGAGTAGAGAGGTTGGTCTTTATCATCAGACTGAATGGTTTGTTTCTCTGTAGAACCAGAGTAACGGACAACTTTTGAGTTCCCATCACCATCACTATACATGGTAATCAGGAGATCACCAGAAGAACTTATGCAGACACCCATAGGTTTCCAAGCCTGTAGTTTGCTCACAGTCGTGATATTCATCCTCCTCACAATGTTCACAGATCTGTCATTTTCATCAGTATAAACTAGATCCCCTCTTTTTGTTACTGCTGTATAAATAGGCTCGTTCCCTGACTTAGTATGAATTGACCAAAGCAGTGTACCTCAATTAATGCTAAAGAGTTTCATGCTGCTGCCACCGCCACTTGTCCAAATGTGTTCATCTCTCAGACAGGCCACATTGCATATTTTCCATAACTTGACTCTATCGTGGTGATAGTCACAGGTTCATCAAATAACTTCTTGACTGGAGGAGAGCATCCAGCTTGTGGTGATATCTGTTTTATCTCGCTGTTGTAGCTTTGTTCCTTTGAAGAAAGAGATAGAGTTGATAATTTCCCAAAAAGTTGATGGAATTGTTCTTCCTGAAATTTCATTGGAGTAAAAATTGGAAATGATGCATCAACTTTCGGTGGAAGTTTCCTGAATTTTGTAATTGTGTTTTTGTGGTGGGTAAATAGAGAGATTTCATTTGATTCTTGAAGTTTGGCTAGTTTTCTGATTTCATCATCAATGTCTGAAATTCTCTGATTTATTTCAGCTCTGTGTTTCTCAAAGGCAGCTTTGTGTATAACCTTCATGTTGTCTACTTCTGTTTTAAGTTTCTTGACAAGTTTGTCAATTTTTCTGTGGCACTCCTCTCCATGTTTTGTAATTACTGTTGAGATACTGTCATATCCTTGATCTAACTGAATAATTCTCTTTTCCACATCAGAGGCAATGTCTTTGTAGGTTGGATAGATGCTCTTTCTCATTTCTTCATTTTCTCTTTCAATTTCAACTTCCTTTGTATTGTAAGTCGCAAATATTTCAAGAATGTTATGACCTGAATGATTTTTAGAGACGATGCAGGCAGATTGATATTCTATTCAGTGACTTTAATATGAAGGTTGTTCGGATAGATCTTGGACAAGTCAATCGTCATTATACTTTCGTTCAAGATTTTTAAAATTAGCATGTATCATATGTAAAAAAAACTATTTTGTTGGAGTGTGAAGTTTCTGTCCATGTACTTTAATAGAAAGTTACATATATATGTATATTTTTATTAAATTTTGAAAATGGACACGTTTTTGACTACCGTTATAGAGATACCATCATGAGGTTCTCAAAAGTAATCCCCTAGCATTATGAGCGTTTTTTTCTTCCGCATTTTTTTCAACATAACATAAGTTGAACATACGTTCAACATAAAATCTTAAACTTTCTTAGTTTGTGCTCTGTGGTCTTCTACGTCATTTTTTTTAATGATTACTCTCTATCTTCTGAAGTAAATTTCTTTTCAATGAATCATATAAAAAATCATAATTTAGAATATAAGGTGATGTAACAATTCAAAATTTAGACGTCTAAAAGCCCTGGGCAAATTTCAACCAAACTTGGCACAAGTATCTTTGGGTTAAGGGATTTAAGTTTTACTAAAGATTCAAGTACCCTCTCTACCGTCTTTCTGTATTAACAGTGTCCTGAGTGTGGTTAGGAGAACTGTTAAGGACATACAGATAACTGTACTGGAGGCCCTGTCTAATCCCCCTGTTGTACCACCTCTACTGAATTTCTGTATTTACAGTGCCCTGAGTGTGGTTAGGAGAACTGCTAAGGACATACAGATTACTGTATTGAAGGCTCTGTCTAATGTCCCTGTTGTACCCTTTCTACTGACTTTCTGTATTTACAAAGTGCCCTGAGAGTGGTTTTTAGAACTGTTAAGGACATACAGACAACAGTACTGGAGGCTCTGTCTAATGTCCCTATTGTACCCTCTCTACTGTCTTTCCGTATTTACAGTGCCCTGAGTATGGTTAGGAGAACTGTTAAGGACATACAGACAGCAGTACTGGAGGCTCTGTCTAATATCCCTGCTGTACCCTCTCTACTGTCTTTCTGTATTTACAGTGCCCTGAGTATGGTTAGGAGGACTGTTAAGGACATACAGACAGCAGTACTGGAGGCTCTGTCTAATGCCCCAGTTGTTCCTTCTCTGCTGTCTTTATGTATTTACAGTGCCCTGAGTATGGTTAGGAGGACTGTTAAGGACATACAGACAGCAGTACTGGAGGCTCTGTGTAATGCCCCTGTTGTACCCTCTCTACTGTCTTTCTGTATTTACAGTGCCCTGAGTATGGTTAGGAGGACTGTTAAGGACATACAGACAGCAGTACTGGAGGCTCTGTCTAATGCCCCTGTTGTACCCTCTCTACTGTCTTTCTGTATTTACAGTGCCCTCAGCGTGGTTAGGAGGACTGTTAAGGACATACAGACAGCAGTACTGGAGGCTCTGTCTAATGCCCCTGTTGTACCCTCTCTACTGTCTTTCTGTATTTACAGTGCCCTGAGTGTGGTTATAACTGTAAACGACATACAGTCAGCAGTACTGAAAGCTCTGTCTAATGCCCCTATTGTATCCTCTATAATGTCCTTCTGTATTTAAAGTGCCCTGAGTGTAGTTAGGAGAACTGTTAAGGACATACAGACAACAGTACTGGAGGCTCTGTGTAATGCCCCTGTTGTACCCTCTCTACTGTCTTTCTGTATTTACAGTGCCCTGAGTGTGGTTAGGAGAACTGTTAAGGACATACAGACAACTGTACTGGAGGCTCTGTCTAATGCCTCTGTTGTACCCTCTCTACTGTCTTTCTGTATTTACAAAGTGCCCTGAGTGTGGTTTTTAGAACTTTTAAGGACATACAGACAGCAGTACTGGAGGCTCTGTCTAATGTCCCTGTTGTACCCTCTCTACTGTCTTTCTGTATTTACAGTGCCCTGAGTATGGTTAGGAGAACTGTTAAGGACATACAGACAGCAGTACTTGAGGCTCTGTCTAATATCCCTGTTGTACCCTCTCTACTGTCTTTCTGTATTTACAGTGCCCTGAGTGTGGTTAGGAGAACTGTTAAGGACATACAGACAGCAGTACTGGAGGGTCTGTCTAATGCCCCTATTGTACCCTCTCTACAGTCTTTCTGTATTTACAGTGCCCTGAGTATGGTTTTTAGAACTTTTAAGGACATACAGACAGCAGTATTGGGGGCTCTGTCTAATGTCCCTGTTGTACCCTCTCTACTGTCTTTCCTGTATTTACAGTGTCCTGGGTGTGGTTAGGAGAACTATTAAGTACATACAGACAGCAGTATTGGAGGGTCTGTCTAATGCCCCTGTTGTACCCTCTTAACTGTCTTTCCTGTATTTACAGTGTCCTGGGTGTGGTTAGGAGAACTATTAAGTACATACAGACAGCAGTATTGGAGGGTCTGTCTAATGCCCCTGTTGTACCCTCTTAACTGTCTTTCCTGTATTTACAGTGCCCTGAGTGTGGTCAGGAGAACTATTAAGTACAGACAGACAGCAGTACTGGAGGCTCTGTCTAATGCTCGCGTTGTGCCCTCTCTAGTGCGTTTCTTTTTGTTTTAATCAAAGATTAATTGACTAAATTGGATACTGGTGCTCAAAAAATAATTATGCAGGAATATTGTATCAAATTTTATTGTAAAATCAAAGTTGACATTGTTAAGTTATGATTACCACCTTATTACTGTGTTCATTACAATGAAGTAATTGGGCAAATAAAGATAACATTGCCACATGCATACTTAAAGCTTATATTGTAACTTGTACAGGTTGCCCAGTAGAACTCAGAATAAATACACTGTGATTACTTTTCAGTAAATTTGCTTCAGTTTTTTTAAAGATATACACGTACCATGACAAGTGAAAGTTACCGTTTTCTCAAACTAATTTTTTTTTATTTCAAGAGTCATGGTTTGTTACCAAGACACAAATGGCCATAGCCTTAATTTCTTTCTTTTTGCATGTACATGTATCTTTTAAGACTATATTCTCTTGAAAGTTGAACTTCAGAATGCATGACTTTTCTACACATTATAAATTTAAACTATATAAAAAATAAGGTAGTTATTCATTTTAAACTGATAGTAAAATAAAAATTTAAATAACAAAGCTATTTAATTATCTTATTTTTTCAAAGTGTATAATAATAAAAGCTAATTCATTTAAAATTATGTAATTGATGTAAATATTACATGCCATATAAAACTTATGTAAATTTGTTAATAAACGAATATTGCAGTATCAGTAGGTGCTGATTTGATATGATATCGTATATCTACTATATATATTTAAAAAGTCCCTCACTTCTTCTGTTTTCACCCCATTTGGAATTCTTCTAATTTGTCCAAGATTTTGTGTCCCCAGAGTTAAAAAATGCCACTGGATTTATTAATTGATAAAAAATTACATTAACAATCCAAGAATTGCTGAAAACCAACATACAATACATGTAATTTACTTTCTGATTGTTCCATATAAAGTCAATCAAATCTCTTTATGAACATGGCAGATATGTGATGATTATTACATGTACCATAAAGCTATGTCCACTAACAGATAAAGTATTTAATATAATAATATAAAAAATGAAAATAAAACAACATTATTTTAAAGGTGGACTGGTGTACTCTTAAAAAAGGAAAGACATAAAAATTGGAGAAAAGAAAAGAATTTCAAATAGATCTACATAAACAATCCAGATTTTTTCCCCATTGATCAAGTTGTACATTGAACTATAAGTCAATTTTCAGTATCAATAACAAGTATAAATGCGAGTTGCATATTTTCCACAGTTACTAATTTAACCCTTTGAATTTACTTCCCTCCTTCTGTTTTTGGGCTATCCATTTGTTAACCATATCCAAGGCAATATCTGGGTCTGACACCTGCTCCACCCCCTCCCGTACGTCTGAGGGGAGGGTTATAAATCCCTCCCGTTCTATCTTTGTCTTGATCACTAGTTGTAAGCAGGTGTTTATGTCGGTTGATTTCTTCACTTTCTCGTCTGTAATACAGAAATTAGTATACTAAGTATTTAAATATTTATCAAATTATTTACCGGATTTAAATCCTTCAAATATGAGACAAGTTTAACATTTATTGAGATTCTTTGCAAGAATACATAAAATATTACAAAACAATACATAAAAACAAGCAAGTACTATTATCATTAGATTAATTTATATGTAATTTTTAATAAAGGCAACTGAGATTTTCAAGGAATGCAATTTAGGGATACAAATTTGTATTTATATTAATGGTCCAAAGTATAAACCAAAATTTATGAATTGCAAGTTGTGTCAATAATAAACCAAAATGAATAAAATACAGTTGGTAAATTAAAAAAGAATATGATAGAATACTGTTTAATGGTCAATTAGAAGAGTGCATGTTACAAGTAAATTATAATTATGGGAAAACTAATTCACAAACATTGAAACCAGAAATAAAAGGATCTGACGTACCAAGTAAAGTCCATGCTTCGGTGCCTTTTGACATTGGGCGTACCCATCGAGATGACCGTATGTTAAGTTTAGTGGCTGATGGGGGATAGGTTGTCCAAAGAATTTCCATAACTTCTCGTCGCTCTAAAGGGCGACAACTTTCACCAAACTTATGACTAAATTGCTTACTGTCATCTGCCAAAATTAAAGTAGGTAAAATTTAGGGATTGAAAAGTCTAAAATACGGAATGGACCCGCACTTACTGAGAGAAAAAGCACCGTAACCATGGTAACTTAAAGTAATTAACATTGTGCAACGGGAAATGACACATGCGTGTGAGAAATTCAAACACAAACAAGAACTAATGACACTTTTTCACACGTGTTATAGGGTGAGCTTGAAACAATATACCAGATTCAGTTTCTGTATACCAAGAAATTTCACAGCCGATTGGTATATACAGGGTCCAAGCTATTTCTAGAACCTCTCTTAGATAGAGTCCAGAATCTCGTATACGAGGGAGAATGGTTTGGCATAAAACACAAGCAGCTGCAAAGGGAAGACGCGAATGGTGTTCAGAGAAGCTCTATATAAGTATTATTTAGTTAACCATATCCAAGGCAATATCTGTATCACCTGAAACAAATTTGGGGGTGGACGAGTGCGTAAGCACGAGTCTCCACCCCCAAATTTGTATCTACGATACAGAACCTGTCGAGTTCTCTAAATGATTTGTGACACGATCAATCAAAAATAGCTCCGCCCACTTTATAACTTTGCAGCATCCAAACTTCCGCCAGAGTGTCGGTAGATGAGGCCCCGACGGGGAGTACGCATCCGCAGTATATATATTTCCACGGAAAACGTAAAATTCGGTCAGATTATGACAATTTAACGGGGTAGACGTAATCGAGTGATAGTGCAGTCTTAATGGAGAAAGTAGAGGATTTAACCGTAATTGTTGTTGATCTATAGATGGAGATTGATTATAATATATTTCAGTGGTCTTAAAATCCCGGTTTAACTAGATTTACAAAAACAGGATTTACAGAAAATTCTTCGATGGACTTTGATATCACGGATTTTTATTTTCTTATTGAATTGCGACATTAAAACGAAGTGAAAGAGACGTGTGACTGTCGTAAGCGAGAAGGATTAAAACGCGAAAAATGGACTTGAATGATTTTGCACGAGGAGAGTGGATGTTTTCCGTTATTGCGAATTTTCTTTTCGTTTGGATCGAAATTACAGATTATGTTATTCGCGTTTTCCTTTGGATCTAAATTACGTGTAGATTCTGTGTGGAATAAGTTTTTTAAAAAGTGATTGAGAAATTTTGACATTGTACATTTTCAGGATTACTACCGGGTATTTCTCTAAAATTTACAATAGGAAAACATCGCATTTACTATTTGTACGTGCTTTTAATTTGCTAAATTTAATCAGATTTATTTTCAGACCGCGCTGTATTGTAATAGTTGGCTAATACAGAACGGAAAGTAGCTCCGCCCACCAAAGTCCCGTTCTGTATTGGGAATACAGAACAGTAAACTTCAAAGAAAAACACCGCTATCGTGTCACAATTAGTGGTAATCTATTCATTTATTACTTTGCTAAAGTAATTTCAAATAAAATTTGCATATGAACAAAATCTATTCAAATGTAAACTCCAAAAAATTGATGAAGAACAATCTATAAATTGTTTTAAGCTCAAATAAGACTTTATAAGATGAAAAATTTTCTTTGACAAGAAAGTTGAAAGTATATATTTGCAAAGTAATAATTATAAAAATGTACAAAATAAGATGATTACCATTTCTTTCATCTTCATTGTAATAAAAATTATGTAATGTAAAAATTAACATTACAATTTACCTTTAACGGTTCATAGACACAGATTTAAAGTTAGTTTTTTCTGTATACATAATATCACGACTTTTGTGTTGTAATAGCATTTCACGTGTAAAATATATTTAAAATCTTATTTTATCTAAAAGTTAGTGAAACTTCAATTTTTTGGGATGGGTTTGATTAACACATCGATCCTTGCACTTTCACAATTTTATTTTTTCTTCTTAATACTTAGGAAAAGTGGCAATTTTTTGTATAACTTTTAGATGAAATAAGATTTTAGTTACATTTTCGTGTGAAATGCTATTGCAATATATAAGTCGTGATATTATACAGAAAATATGAGTAAATATTAATTTCAAATCTGTGTATATTTCAAAATAATTACAAATGCTTGATTTGTATCATCCTCGCAAGCCAGGGGTCCTGGACGAAAGGCAACGTCCTGACTAAGGACCCCTGAGGATGAGTATGTATCACAGGCACTTGTTTCAGAAATAAATACCATTGGTTAAAAAATTATTTCCAAAAACAAGTGTCTGTGATATGTATAAGCTTTGAATGGAAGAAAAAACACAATTGTAACAACAGAGAGAAGAGACCTTACCTAAACATGTTCTCCTGGCTATGACGTCTTTCAGTCTATGTATGGAACTGTAGTCGTAAACGCTGTAGACGTTCTTAGCCGATGAAGCAATGTGTCTCAGTTCCTCCATGTCTACCTGACTTCCAACACCTGTAAATCCAGGTAAATATCTATCAAGTACATACTTGTGTATAGACCACAGAAAATGGGGGAGGTGTCAATTAAAAAAAAAATAAGATACATATTTTCTATAATACAATATTAATGCTAAAGAAGTTGGTTTATAAGGAATCTTTCTTACCTATGGTAATAACGTTGACGTTATCCTCTTTGACGTGTCTAGCGGCTTGTGACGTTCTCTCGGGACATGATGACTTCCCGTCTGTGATGACGATTCCTGTTTTCTGGACCCCGGGCCTGGCACACTACAGACAGATACAGATCAAAAAGTGTGAGTAGCCAAAATCCAAGTGATTTATATTTTATGAAAAATACCAAAAAAGATCGGATTATGAGGTCGGGATATATGGCGAATTCATGGATTATGGAAAGATTGTCAGTTTAATGTACGGACATGATGTTTAAATTATGGGCTCAGTGTTGAAACTGGGTTTGGAATCTATGATACATAACATTTTGAACCTAGCCCCTAACCCCCTTCCATGTTTAACTCTCAGCTCGGTCCTTTTGATGTTTACGCAAGGAAACGTAAATGTGACGAATAAGATGATTCAGTAAACTCTAATTCTCTAAAGATATTATCATATGGGAGATCAAAGAAACTTATTACATGTAAAACTTTGTTTGCTATAAGTAATGCTTTACCAAGCATACTTAACACTGAAAATTGCTTTGTTTCAAAGATCTGTTTGATTCCTTGAGGACCGACGTGATCAATTAATGATGATAGTCTTTAAAAATGCTTGAATAGTCACAATTTAAAAATAGCTAATCAAGAATATGTCATGGGACGTATCGTCTGCCCTCACATTTATGTCCAATGTCTTCTATCTTTTTAATCAATTTCCTATTAATTCCAACGATCCAATTAAAAGAGAATTTTAACGGGGTAATTAGAAAAGAATTAATAGAGAATAACCAATGTTCGCAACAGTATTGACATATTTCAAAATATCCATTAGTAGAAACAACCATAGTTCTGAATCAAACCATACTGAAATAAAGAGAAAAAAAGTTCTTAAGAACTGGTCATAAGTCAACATGAAAATATATTTTAAAGTGAGAATACCATGAACATTTTCTTCATTTCTTTAAGGGCGAGATCTGTCCTGGTCAATCCTTCGTTGTGGGCAATGTTGTCTACATGAAATGATATACAAAGAAAACTCTATAAGAACAATGAATATAAAAAAATACATATTTTGAAGAATAATCTTTTTCTTTTCAAACAATTTAAGACGTGTAATGTTTCCATAATGAATCAATGAATCAATTTTGAGGATATATTTACTGAGCGAATTTACTTTATAAAAGACACTCGAACAAGTGAAAGGGACATGATAACATACTTACCAACTGCACTACATATTTGGTAGGTCATGTTGTATCTATTGATTCCGAATGCTTGGTATACGTCATCACTGTACGGAATAACACCGACCCGGATGTTGTCGGGACCGATCGTAAACGATTCGACTACACTCTTAACAAACTGGGTCAAATAGTGAAAACACATAGGCGTAACGCTAGTCGAACAGTCCAAAACAAATATGACCTCGCCTGAATTGTTTCCACCTGTATTGAAAGTAAATAGGTATGTTTCTTTCTAATGCTATTAAAATACTTTTGCTGAGCATGTGAAGTTGTGAATATATTTTAAGCTAACCTTTGAAAACTTTTTCGAAAGCCTGTTGAATTTCACCTTCGGTCGGATGAAGATCACACGCTGTAAAGAATTCTGGCAAATCTTCCTTCAGGACTCGGTCACCATAAGCCAATTTTCGGAAGGTTTGTTCATATTCTGTAATCAAATTGAAAATTACACATATTTAACTTCATACAAACGTGTCTATCTCTTCTTGTCTTAACAGATAACATGTACTAGTACTTGAATTTTATGTTCATGGATGTTTGCAATTATAGAATTTTATTATTTTTTCGTTATTTTGATTTGAACAAGCACAGTATTTATAAAGATTAATGTGTATTTTCCCCATTAAGATTGTTTGCATGTTTTCATTCTGTTTGTGAGTCAGTTTATCATATTGAATGAGATAGGGAATAGGAAATGTTCTGTCTTCAAATTAAAATAAGGTCGAACTGGACAGGTGAATGTCGAAAATAATCATTAATTCATGTCAATGCATGACTTGATATCACCCGAGCAGCATCACATTAAATCATGCATTTTAATCATATAATTATTAATAATTATCATGAATAACACAAGCTTAAAAATTAGTTCTCCACACCCATAAGAACATTTGTATGGACATGAAACAATAAAAACAGTACATCAGGTACTTACTTAGTTTACTGTCGAGGAACGCCAGTAGTTCCTTTAGATCCACCCCACAATATGGCCTCTTGACGTCATATCGTTCTTGTACCCGTTTGATCAGGTTTTTGTAATCGTTTACAAAATTCTCCCAAGACATGAGGTGTTCCAAGCGAACCTGGTCAATGTAAGATTTATAAAAATAAATAAAAACTTCTCCTACACGATGATTAAATACACAATTAATGTAATTAAATAATATAGATTTTGTGATATACTTTTTTTTGTCAAAATGTTTGAAAATTGATCTTGTTTAGTTCCAGGATTTTGACGTACGTAAGCATGAAGGACTCCCAATGCATTTTTTTTTTTACAATACAGCCCCCTGACCTTGTTAATATTTAAACGTTAAGCGGCCAAGAGTTTCAATGCTGGACATCAATTCAAGGCATAAATTAAACTGTCGTCAAATCATGATAACATGACCTCTGTCTTTGATTGAATGTCTAATCTTGGTCGGCCTGACATGATTTGTATTTTATTGACTGTCGACTTGCCTATAAAGGTGAAAACAGTTGATAAAATATAAAAGAAACACAGAAAATATCAAAAAGGGAAAAAAGACAAGGATAGCAAACTTATCTGAATGATAAAATTGGCAATGAAAAATATCCATTACTTTTATATTGTTTTAAATATATATGCAATTTGATTTTTAAACATAAAATCTGGAGAAAGCAAACAGTAATCAAGCTCATATGTCCATTGAAGGAATATAGGTTGGGAGTGGAGCAAACACGGGTCTCTGAAACACTAGAGGTGGAATTAGGAGGCATAGAGGAGAAAACATCCTCTGTCGATCCGTCATACCCGCCGTATGTTCCTTGTCATGATCGGGCAACTGAAAAATCCTTGAAGAACTAAGTGTGTAAAATTTTTTTTTTTTAACTATTTGTATGAAGCTCTAGCAGGCATTTGGTAGACTAAATTTGCTGAGAAGATCATTGCATCGGCCATAGAATTTGCGAAATGATGACTTTAAACGCGACTGTTGATAGCCTGGTATCATCAATTTATGTTTCCGTTTGTAAATTGCCTCGTCTTAAAATTATTTATACGTAGAGCAGAAAATTACGTATCGAATCAACTGGGAAATAAACACTCCAGCTAGCTACGCAGAAGCTAAGAAAATATTGCTATATATATATAAATAAGGGACGTTGTCGATAGAAACTTGAAGTCATCACGTTTGTCATTAAGTTTTGTTGTTATTTTACCATTAATATAAGAATGCACGAATGTCTTTTTCTAGAAGAATATTAAAATTTGGACACTGAAGTATATCTTATATTTCGAACTCAGGGGGATATACAGTGTAGGTTGAATCAACGTAAGAATAAAAAAATTAATTTTGTAAATAGATAGAACAACGTCGATACATCTTAATGTTGAATTGAGAATCAAAAATGGGCTTTAGAAGATTTTTTTTCATTAATTCTGCTATACGTGAAAACAAAATAAGATGTGTTAACAACAATAACATGAAATCTATAAAAAATGCACTCTTATGTTTGGAAAAGTATTCGAAAACATCCATAGAGAGAGGGGAATAGTCACGGCGTCTTCCATATGGTAAATGTCTTTAAAATAGCAGTTGTTAAGATCAGAACATGGTTTAAATGTTGTTGTTTTTTTAATTGCTCATAAAAATTATATTTTCTTACTTTTCTTACTAAACATTCTTTACATTTTCACATAGGAAATTGTTTTCATAAACGTTCCCTGCTATTCAATCTGCATATTGTTTTACTAATAAAAATACTTTAATGAGTATGCTTTTTTATCGGAATCTGTACGTTTTCTGAAAGTGAAGATGTCCTTAGTTGATGGCAATTTGCACACAATGACTAAGAAATGTTTTTCATAATTCATAATTGTTTCTATCTTCAGTAAAAATCCCAAAATCGACTTATTGTATCATAAAAATTTATAACTAATTTACTTTTTGTTTAATGTTGTTCCAGGACGTAATGTAGAAACGACGTTTGTTCTCAAAATATTATTCTGATCTCAGTCTGATGCTAATTAAAGCTACGCTTTAATCTCTTTTAGCTTCTGTAATTTCGCACACTTAAAATATGCTTGAAGGCATGTTTTACTTTGTATAATTTAATTAAAAATTCATAGTTTTTATTCCAGTAGAACGAATTGAAATTAAAAATGAATTTTCAAATAGGTTTTTTCAAATAACTCGATAGCATACCCACGTAGAATTTCCACCGAGAAAAGCAGTGCAGTGAAGTATTTCTTCAGAATTGCTACAACAATCATTAGAGTATGATGATGTAATTTAAAAGTCATTTCAGGATTGTTTTCTACGATTCAGAAGAGGAGAAATGTGAAGGAGATTGAAAGAGAGGAGTGGAATGCAAACTAAACACTAAATAATTATCTATGTGCATTAATGAATTTAAAAAAAGACAAAAACCGTCAGACACCATACACTTGTTTATATAATTCATCAAGTAAATCCTATAACTAGCAAAATTTATTAATATTAATTATTGAAATGTAAAACCTTAAATAGAAGCTAATAGCACTATACACTGATTATTTCCTTTGCAACTCATGTATGTATTCTACTTGTGTATCTTGTGTACTTGTGTATATTTTTAAAGTCAACGCTGTATATAGCTTTTGAGTTGGATATAAATGCACTGACTACAAATTTACTTTACTGTCTTTGATTTCTCTTGAGAAAATTGGGACCTGTAAAAAATTGCTCTTTAACCCATTAGCAACATCAAATCTAAAAATAAATACTAGTAATTCAAAATTTCATACCGTTGCATGAATGTGCAACAACTTAAAACATTTTTCAACAGTGTAATACTTCAAAATGAGGATCCATGTAGGTTATGTATAATCATTTTTTAAAATTCATTTTCCTATTAAATTAAAAACGATAAATGATAAAAATAATAAGTTTCACTACAAACCACTACATAATAGAAAAAAACTTTTTTAAAAAATGTTATATAACGCTTTAACCACTATATCGCGTGGGCGACATAGCCCTGCAAAATATTTCTAAGAAATTCCTTTCTTTTTATCTCTTTCTCTCACATTTTTAATGCATGAATTTTTACGTTTGCAAACATGGACTTTCTTTGCTATATATGGCCCCTTAATTTACTTTATATATAGCTTTAATTTGTACAGCTATACATGCGACCTTTATTGGTCATTTTCAATTTGATCAAAATGCCGTTATTATAGAAATATGACATCATAAAGTTCATGTTTTCCCGCCATTTTAGCATATTTGGTATAAAACTGCTTATTTTCAAGCAGTTTTTCTTCCAGAAAATACAGAGCGCAGCCTAGAACAAACTTTATATTTTTACGAAAGATGTATCTATCCAATACTAATTAGTGACAGAAAAAGTATGTATGTTCTTCACCGCGCTCTATGTTTCCCTTAAGAAAAAACTTCAAGAAAATGCATATTTTTGGCTTTTTTGTTAGATAGCAAAAATAACTTCTCATGTCATTTACAGCCAGTGAGTGCATATAAATGTGAAAAATGTATTGAAAATGTTTCTAATATAATCTCTTCTACAAAATAAATATCAATTAAACATATCTAATTATCATTCTAAAATGTTGATTTTTAGGGGGCCAAAACTGGCTCTTATCATATATAGTCCTTATCCAAAATAAAAAAAAAATGTCTTTTTTTTTTTTTTTTTTTTTTTTTTTTTAAATATTTCAATTGAAAAGGCATTTTATTGTCTTAAAAAAAAATCCTTTATAGTTTTTTGACTTATAATAAACCACAAAGTTTTCTTATTGGGTTTATGTATTGCTTATGATATAAATGAATATTCAGTCTCAAATTGAAATTATTGCAAAGTTTTATTTCGCTTTATCTCTTAAAAAGACACTCTTTTTTTCCCACTTACGTTCTTTTGTGTTTGAAGTCCTTCATCGTTATAAAGGTACGTCTATCATGTCTTTATGAATAAAAAATTCTCAAAACATGAAGTTTGACAAAATAAAAATGTTGATCTCAGTCTCACTTTTTCATAAAGGATTAATAGTGGAAAAGTAAGACTGATATCAAAAGTGAGCCAATCTCAGTTTTATTGCCCTGGAACCACTTCACCAGTACCGTTGTGTTAAGTGGGGCGGGTAAGTTAAATTTACACCGTCATAAATTGATGTGTCAATATATTTAATAACAGTATCTCTGGAAAATATTTATAAAACTTGAAATTTATACACATTGGGATGCTTGTTTTTCACGTTAATTTCTATGGTCACATTGATTATGAAGATATATGACATGCTTATTTTATGCAGCTTTGATCATAGAACGTAAATCAAGATGTGACAAAATATCATTGAATTCCTTGGAGGAAATTAATGCCTGTATAATTAAAAATGAAACATGCAGGTTGATTACCACGGACGGTTAGACATATTGATATTGTCAAAATGAATGTTTTAAATTGAAAAATGATCTGGGCTGATTTGGAAAAATTAACCATTTAAGGATCGAAGTATTATATTTTTTTTTCAAAATTACTTTAAAACGACGCTCTGATGATATGATACATGAGTTTCTGATTGACAATAACTTTATAGTTTCTGGAGACCAAGACTAATAGTATTCCTGCGATCTCGGAATTCCCATGGGTAGCAATATCACCCCATTATTTGTAGACCTGTTTTTGTATTTACAAGAAACTGAATTTCCCAAGGAACTTTAAAAAGGATTTCACTTAATTTGTTTCAGATTTGGACATCTCGCTGGGAAAAAGTTAATGGTTGACTAAAGCTTTGTGACTCAACTTTTTAATTGTCAACTTCCCTTACTTATGTAGCAATACTCTTATCTCCTTCATATTATTTCTCTCAGTTGGTTCGATAGGCAATATCATGGTCTGCTAACGAAACAAACTAGGCAAAATATTGATAAGCAATGAAACAATAATAACAACAGTCTCATTAAACGTCAGCATTTTGCAAACCCTATGATCGATTCAATGACATTGTTTGTAGATAAAATTGATCATAAAGTTATACAGTGTATATTGACTGACATTTTTTCATACATTGGTAACACTATTTACACACTGAATAGTATAGGATATTTTTTTTCGATTTTTCCGTTCATGACAAGAATCGAACGACAGTTGCGACCGGTCTGCAGGGGTTGCCCACTTCTCCTGGCCCCCTGGTGTTTTTGGGATCCTCGTCTGCTTTGTTCATGGAATTTTTAGCTTAAATACTGTGCGATTTCTCTGTATTTCTTTTAAAACGATTTCTTGAAGACTTAGAAAACGTTGGAGGAAAAGAATTGTCATGTTCTTAAACGCTATAAAATGAATATTTTTGCAAAGTCAGAAACTTTTATATTAATCATGCAATGAAATAATAATATTTCTTTCCTTGCCTTTAAAACATACATTACATTGATTGTCGAAAGAAAATGACCATTGGACAAAGTGACAGAAGAAAGACAAAGTAAATAGTCCCTTCCCCAAGATTTCGGTTTCCAAACTTTATTTTTTTAAAAATAAATTTGACTTGCGTAAAAGGCAGATGGAAGCTGCATGTAGAATTTCCGAACAAAAACCCTATTGCAAAACATGTTTTTAAAAAAGAGGAAGAAGAAAATAACAAAAGATATTTTTATGTTTGCAACGTAAATATCGATAAAGTCATGTTCTAATATACTTTAAAAATTAAATACCTATACCAGCTCACAATAATTTTAACACAAATTTAACAAAAGATACGTCAGGTGTTATATTACGGTTTTAAAGGAAGTCTCAAACATTTTGTAATATATTTACCCATGCAGTGTTGACATTCACACCACAAAATATATTGAACATTGTTAATTTTACCCATCAATATTAAATGTGTATAGAAAGTCATCAGCACTACGTCCCAAAAGATGACTCTAATTACAGGAAAAGCAGGGATAGGTCACATAACAATGTAACAGAAAACTAATTTAATGGAATCATTTACTAAATTTTTCATGCATTTTTGAGACATAACCGCTTTTTTTTAAAATGACACGCTAAAGAGTGTTGATCCTAAAGTAATGACACAGTCAACTGTTTTTGAAATCTTCTATCTCTATCTATTTTGACTTTTTGCTTTTACATTTCATTCCTTTATAAATAATTCTTTTTAGATAATATTAAAAAAAACACAAAATTCTTATTTCATGAATTTTCATTCATATTTTTTAACGAGAACAGTAAAAAAATAACTAGCTGTAGACTTTATCTTTTGTCTAGAGGAAACAGAGAATTAATTTAATTACCTTTCTTTTAAGTTTCTGTAAGAAGCGCCTGACGCTCCATCCCCGGAACACTGCCTGGATCAAACGAGCCGCGTCATTACGTCGACGTTGCTGCAAACGGTGAGAATGGTAACTTCTAAAAATAATAAGAAACATGTGAGTATGTAATTTATTCAATTACTTAATTTTAGAGCTTTCATCAGATGGAAAATGCATATTTTTATAATAATCTTCAGTTAGGGATATGTTGAAACTGAAAATGCGAAATTGAAAGTCTCAAAACTTACACTTGTATGACGTTTTGATAAAGGTCATATTTTTGTAAAAAAAAAAACAATGGCCTAGTATTATCATTAGTCCTAACTGTTGGCCTGAGTGTTATATCCCTGCAAACCATAATTAAAAGTCTGTAATGTTTTTCCCCTTTCCTCAAGTCCTTTTATCCACTAAAATGAACCATGGAGATAACAGATAGTATTCAAGATTGAAAGTCCATTAAACAATACAAAATAGGAGCAGAGCAAACAAGGACCTCCAAAACATCAGAGGTGGGATCAGGTGCCATGGAGGAGTGAGCATCCCCTTTCGACCGATCATACCCGCCGTGTGCTCCTTGTAGAACGTATTGGCAAAATGATATTCAAGTTATTTTACACGTTTATGAAGCGAAAGCTGGCATTCAAACTTCTTGTTACAGACCATATGGAAAACTGTTATTTCAGTCTTGTTTGGTCAAATTGATAATTATATGGTTTGCAGGGATAAACTCTAAGGCCACAACAATTTGGAACATTTTACAACTTATAAAACTTTTCTTGCAACAAACACTTACATCCAGCAGGACCTTAAATTAAAAGTTGGCGATCACTTTATCTATAGATATATACTTACAGAAATATTTTCGTTTATCGAAAGGTTTCAATAAATGTGTCACAAATGATAGGTCGATGAGAGAGAGTTGGTATTACTACTTACGCATAAAATTGTGGATCTGGTGCTCCTTTTTTCGCAAATCTGCTATTCGAACTCGGTGTGATAGATCTGTTTAAAGAACTGGCCCCACCCCCTGGCTCCTGGCTTCTACTGCTGCTGGGGGTTTTACTTCTAACGGGAGACGTCATTTCCAGTCGAGAACTGTGTTCACTTTTTATAGGGTAGAAATTGTTTATTTAAGTTATACCACAATGTAAATTTAAGGCATGAATTAAACAATATTTAAAAACTGAGACACGTACGATCGACTTCTGGGTGGACTCTTTTCTGATAACCATACTTTGTATTCCTTTTCCCAGAGCCAGCGGGAGAAGGGCTGTTTTTCTGTCTTTGTCTCTTTATCAACTTCATATCTATCATTAAAAAATCCGTTCAGATTTGAAAGCTTTTTCTTATAAGCTTAATTTAGAAATATAGATAGGCATAAATTCGAGAAGTCGCTAATGCACGGACTGATTTATATTTCGATGTTTATATAACATTAATACAGTTTACTAGTATATTAATTTAAGAATTGGCTTACCTTAGTTCATAGATGTCTCCATACTTTGAGTTGGTGACATACTTTCTTGTTCTGCGTTTCACATCCGTTAAATCAGATGGAAGAAAGCTTCCGTAGAGAAACTCTAAAATATATTGTAAACTTCTGATAATGTTAAAATTGGTAATATGTGAATGCAAAACTAGAATAATGTTCTTTTGAAAACTGGGCTAGGTAAGTTTAATTGTTCTAAGACTGGTTAATTCATATTTTTCTATCATATTTTTAAGTTTGAGTTTACGAGTTGGCATAATTAAATAGAAAATTTTTCAGAATTTCAATTGATTTAAAGTAAAAAGAATCTGTTAAAAGTATTTGTTAAGAAAATAATTATATCATGAAATAATCAATATACTGAACATGGACTTTCCTGGCTTTACCTTGGTTGTATTAATTTTTGGATCTTTGATGGTCACTTTTTTCCTGTTTAACCTTTGTTGTATTTCGGACTCTTTTATGTTTGAAGGTAACCCTTTTTCTAGTTTTATCTTTGCTAAAATTCAGATTGTTGTATTGGATGGGATTGTTATTAAATGGTCCTTTAATTTTTTCTAATTTTTAAATTTGTTGTACTAGTATTAATTTTTTAATTTTCATTTTTTTTGTGGTTTTACCTGTAATATTTTGGATAATATTATGTTCTATGATCACTTCTTTTAATTTTACCTTGAATATACATGTATTTCGGATGGTTCTGTTCTATTCGGTGGACACAATTTTTATTTTGTTGTATTTTGGATTATTGTGTTCTATAGTGATCTTTTCTATTTTTACCTCTATTGTATTTGGGATTGTTGTGTTTGATGGTCACTTTTTCAGTCCAGGGTTTCCTCCTGTACCGTCTCTCCTGTCTCCTGTTGTCCAACATTTCTGCCATTGAAATGGGTTCCCTTTCATCTGACAGGGATTGTCCTAACTCGGAAGGGACACTTTTCCATCGCCGAAGAACAGAATCATTTGACTCACGTCCGCCCTTATAAGCAAAAAAAAAAAAAAAAAAAAAAAAAAACAACTTTGATTACTGGTAAGAAAATACATCATCTTTGACTTAATAAAATTGTCTTGGTCCTGTAAAACTTATTTTTAAACTCACAAATGTGCCTTGAAAAATAAAGTTTTTGGGTATAAAACATGGCAATCTCTATGCAATGCATGCAACTTTCTGTTCAGTTAAATTATATTCGAAAGAGTGATTCATTGGTTTTGTGAATCATTTGTCGTTGTAATGTTTGTATGGCGGTTTCTGTCCTCTATAAGCAAAATTGTTTCTTAAGATCATGTCGACGTGCCAGAAAATATTATGTCAGCTAGCAACATAACTGTTGACATGTACATGCAATAAAATGTGATCAAGTAAACATTTGCGTAAATTATCAAGTATCACCCACCAGTGACATGATGACATCCATACTAGATGCATCAACTTAATAAGTCGGCGTATTTAGGTGAACATGGATTTATGTCACTTAAGGAAGCTCTAAACACTAGCAGAAACTGCTTTTTGGACTTAGAGAAAAATATATTATATAAAAGTGTGCATAGTGAGACTTTTCCATTCATTGCTAACATAGGGTACGTGCTTTATTTCTGCAGAAAAAATGTTCAAAGTTAATGGGCTATTTGTAAGCAGAAATTACTGCTGTTTACTTGATTGGGAAAATTAATAAAAATAATGAATTCAATTACTAATTTTTGGTCTTATATAATGCTAAAAATATTTTAATCTTTTAAAAAACGTGTAATTAATTGTAAATAACAATTTTAATAATCTTTCTTCTAAGGGAAGATCACTCTAACTGCATAAAACTACCCTATAAGTGTAGTGTACACTATTAGAGCGTTCTTAAACAATGTTGCGGCAAAGAAAAAAAATATTTTAATATTTGCCGAAGCACTGTTTAAGTAACATAATTCCACTTTTATATGTACTTAAAGAATTTTATTCGGTAATAACCAATATTTGCCCCCCACAATCAAACTTGGACGGAGAAATATTTAATTATGTTCTTAAACAGGGGAATGAATGCTGACTTCAAAACACTCAATATTTTCATTAGCAATGACGTCATATGTCATATAATCATATCAGAATGACGTCATATAATCATATCAGAATGATTTTGAAATACAGAAGAATTTAGAACGCTCTGAGAATCGTGGCAAAGAATTACAGCATTTGCTAGAAAAGTCAGAACTGCGCTGTAAGGACCTACAGTATGAATGTGGTAACCACCTAATAAAACAGTCGCAACTTGAAAGCCAACTATCAGTTCTCCATGAGAAAATCAACTGTGCTGAAATACAACACAAACATTTATCAAAAGAGATGGACTCCATGCAGGAAGTGATCACAACAAAAAACGAGATTATTATGGATCAAGAAAGGCACATTAAAAACCTAAATAATGAGATATCAAAACTTCATGACTCTTTAATACATGAAAAAATTCATGCAAGTAGAATGGATGACTCCTTATTTGAGCAGAATGTAAATAACAGTCAGAATGATGCTTAACCACATCAGAGACGAGCTGTAAACAAACAAAATCGACCAGATCATAATGCTGAACTGCACCAAGGACGAGCTGTAAACATATCAAACAGACAAAATCTACCAGATGCTGAACCACGACAAGTTGACAACAAACCAAAGCAAGCTGTGAGAAGCCGACAGGAACGAGCAACTCGACACAGAAGAAAACAAGTTCTATTCGTCGGAACATCAAACATTAAATATGTTAGCTGTAGGTATGTAGCAGGGAAGAGATACTATGTCCATAAAGAGACCAGATACACCATTGATGATGCAACAGAGTATATACAGAACTATGACGGAGAGATGAAACCAGAAATCATTGTGTATCATCTACTATGCAACGATGTTGAAAAATCCTCAAATCCTCAGCTATTGAAAAAATGTCAACACTTAATCGACGTAACCAAAGCAAAATTTCCGTCCTGTCGACTTATGATATCCCTTGGCTTACCCAGAGGAGACCGTGAATTCAACCTGCGAATAAATACTCTGAACATAGATCTTCAGAATCACTACAAGCGTGACAATTCCGTCGTTCTTTGTGACAACAGCAATTTATTCTACAGAGGCATGCCACTCAGAGGCATCTTGCGTGACCAGAAGCACTTGTCCAAACAAGGTGTTTTCCTTTTCTCCGAGAATCTCCGAGAAGAACTTGATTGTCTAGAATAATGCGAAAACTTTTAAAGATTGGAAGTTGGAATATAAATCAACTGAAATCTTCAGTTCACAATAAATCGAGAGATAAATATTTCCTTGCAGAGATTAGTAGATATGATATATTTGGTATATTAGAAACAAAACATAGTAAAGATGACCACTTTGACTTCGGTCAAGATTTTAGCTCTATTTCAGTTCCCCGCCCTAAAGAAGAAAAATATCCTGTATCAGGGGGGATCATAATTTTGTTGAAAAACTCTATTAAGCCAGGAATCAAAATTATCAAAAATACCAGTAGTGAAATACAGTGGATTAGATTAGCTAAGGAATTCTTTGGCTTTGAAAAGGATCTTTACATTTGTTTCACATACTTTGCCCCTTCTAATTCATCATATGTCATAAGAAACAATTTGGATGTCTTACAAATATTAGAACATAATGTCACAGAATATAGCCAAATTGGGAATATTATAATATGTGGCGATTTTAATGCAAGGACCGGGACTGAAATAGAAAACACAGATTTTGATTCTTATGTTCCAACTTCATTTGACCATGTTGATTATCATTTGCCTGTTAGATCTAGTCATGATTCTTTTGTTAATAAGAGGGGAAGAGATCTTATTGATTTTTGTATATCCCATGATTTGCATTTTTTGAATGGGAGAACTGTTGGAGATTTAAGTGGAAAGTTTACGTGTTTTCAATACAATGGTAATAGTATCGTTGACTATTGTATAATATCAAATTCACTGTCAAACAACATTTTGTATTTTATGATTCATGATCATATACCAATTCTCTCAGACCATGCAAAATTAACATGCCAGATTAAAGCCAATTTTCAGGAGTTTGGCAAAGAAAATCATGTATCGAACTCGAACATATTAATTCCATCCTCTTATATATGGAATAAAGAATCTATTATACATTTTCAAGCCGCGCTGAATAATAATGAAGTGCAAACAATGATAAAAGAATATTTGGAAGATGATTTAAACATAATTAATTATAAATCTGTCCATCCTTCAAACAGCTCTTGTAACGAGCATAAATCTGGAAGTGATCATGCATTAATGAGATTTAATGATATTATTAAAACAGCATGCAACAAATCGTTAAAGACATCCCTTAAGGTTAAAGTAGGTGTGAAAAAAGACAAAATTTATAAAAATAAAAAATGGTTTGACTATGATTTACACAAGATGAAGTTAGAATTATTAAATAAAAGTAAATTGTATTCTAAATATCCTTTTGATCCGATTATAAGAGGTTCTTTCTTCAAGTATCGTAAACATTATAATAAACAATGCAAATATAAACAAAGAGAATTTAAAGCAAGTATTATGAAAAATTTAGAGACATTGCATGCGAAGGATCCAAATTCATACTGGAAATTAATCAAAGAATTAAAAGAAGACAATGACGAACAAGACCCTTCAACAAGAATATCTCATGATAAATGGATATCTCATTTTTCAAACCTACTTTCAATAGATCAGAAGTTTACTCCACAAGACTTATACTTTAGAAATCTTTGTGATCAAAGTCAAAAGAGTAAAACCTTTTCACTCCTTGATTGTAGAATTACAGAAAAAGAGATAATTGATGCAGTAACTAAACTTAAAAATAACAAGTCAGCTGGCCTTGATGGAATTAAAAATGAAATGATTAAAGCTGGATTATCCCAAATAGTAGGATGTTTGTTAAAACTATTTAATATAATTCTTTCTACAGGAGTTTATCCCTCTGATTGGAAAATTGGGTACTTAAAACCATTATATAAATGTGATGATCCATGTGACACCTCAAATTACAGAGGATTAGCAATTATGTCTTGTCTCTCCAAAGTGTTCAATAGTATATTAAATGCAAGACTTCAAACTTACCTAGATGACCATAAAATTATCAATAAATGCCAAATAGGATTTCAACCCAAGGCTAGAACATCTGATCATATGTTTGTACTGAAAACACTAATTCAAAAATATAACTCCTCTAACTCAAAATTGTACACCTGTTTTATTGACTTTTCAAAAGCGTTTGATACAGTACTTCACTCGGCCTTATTATATAGACTATCTCAGATTGATATTAAAGGTCCTTTTTACTATGTCATTAAGAGCATGTATACCTCGAATAATTTACATATTCGAATTGGTAATAAACTTACTAAAAGCTTCATCCCTGAATTAGGGGTAAGGCAGGGGGATAATTTGAGTCCAAACTTGTTTAAAATCCTTATTAATGAACTACCAGATATGTTTAACAGTGAAGATGATCAAGTATATTTGAATAATGAACCTCTTAGTTGTCTTCTCTATGCTGATGATCTTGTTTTATTATCATCTTCTCCAAAAGGCCTACAGAATTGTTTGAACAAGCTGGCCACTTTTTGTGATAAATATTGTCTTACTGTAAATTTGAAAAAAACAAAAGTTGTAATCTTTTACAAAAATGCACGACTCACAAATTTACATTTTATATATAAAGGTCATGAAATTGAGTGTACATTGTCATATAAGTATCTAGGGGTTTTATTCAATGCATCTGGTTCATTTGCTCAATGTCAGTATGATTTATATAAGCGTGGTTTGAGGGCTTTCTTTAAATTGGTAAAATGTTTTGGTAATACCAAACCAAATGCAAATATCTTGTTACATCTTTTTGATCATACTGTAAAACCTGTTGTTTTATATGGAAGTGAGATCTGGGGCACTATAAACACAGAATCTGCAGTTGTTAAAAGGACAAATTATGAAATAGAAAATTCCTTTAAAAATTTATTTAGTGATAAACTACATATCAAAGCTCTAAAATATATTTGTGGGGTTCACAAGAAAGCTTCTAACCATGCTGTTATGGGTGAATTAGGCAGACATCCATTGTATATTGAAATCTTGTATAATTGTATCAAATATTTGCAACATATTTATAAATCAGATAGTACTTTACTAGCAAGTGCACTACAAGAAAATATAATATTGAATAATAATAGAAAGAGCTGTTGGTTGAGTAGTATTCATTTTATGCTGGAACAATTAGGAATATCCTGTGACAACATCTTGGCTAAAAACCTTCCATCAATAGTTTATAATGAACTAAATAGAAGATTTACTAATATATGGCAAAATAATTTATCAGAGTGTGTTAGAAATGAAAAAGGCAAACTTCGAACATATGGATTATACAAAACAAGACTAATAAAAGAAAAATATTTTTCTATGATATCAAAACCAGAGGTTCTTAAATGTTTTACAAACTTCCGCATTAGTTCACATAAGCTTGAAATTGAAACTGGCAGATACAGAAATGTGCCTGCCATGGATCGAAAGTGTAAACTTTGTGCTTCAGACTCTGTAGAAGATGAAATCCATTTTATATTTGAATGTTCAGCTTATAAACTATATAGGCAAGTATTCATTAATCATATAAGTGAAGAAAATAAAAATTTCTCCTCACTTTCAAATAGAAATAAATTTATATGGCTAATGTCAAATGAAAGTAGTGATATAATAAATAGTTTTGCAGAATATATATTTAAATGTTACAATAAAAGATCCAATGTTGTCTCAGGATGTTCCTGAAAGTTGAGAATGATAATTTATAATATGCAGACAAGGTAGATATCCAATAAAATTTCTGCATGATGTGGCATAATGTTTGCGTTTGTGTACTTTTATCATATATTATACATATTCATTGTTGCATATGAATTCAACTATCATTTGGATCTCTTCCTCTCTTTAGCTTTATATTTTATTTATCATTGTTTATGTTGTATTTTTCTTGAATGCCCTTCATGGGCCCAAAATTGGAAATAAATGATATTCTATTCTATTCTATTCTATTCTATGTATGAAATGACTTCACGAAAATGACGTAAATTTAAAATTTCCATGATTTGTACAGACACATTCTTCCTCAATGTTTTTATCGGCGTTGTATACTTCTTGTTCGGGAAATGAAAGAAAACTCCGTCGACAATTAAGTGTGAAAATAATGGCTTGGCAATTAGTATGTGAAAAAGTCAGTCAACTTTTGACCAAATGATAGATTAGAAAGTAAAGGGAAGTTGACGATTAAAAAGTCATCACTTTACTGATAAAGCTTTAGAAAGCTTTGTTTTGAGGTTGCAGTTATCGTCTTTTTCTTGTAAAATATTCAGATATGTACAGATGTAACAGACTCCTGGTATCTTTTTTCAAGCTCAATATGATATATTACGATATATGAATGGAAATAAGTATAATAATTGATAAAACAACGTCATTATATCTGAATGTCGAGTTGAAGGCTACAGCAAGTGTCTGCTTATCATGTATCAGATTTTGAATAAATTCTGCTTCATATGAATGCAAAGTTGGTCTGTGTGTAAAACCAGATTGTTTTTAAGCAAAATATACGTACTTTTGCAAATGACCAATGACAAGGTAAGTAAATATACGAGTACTTTTTTTTTTATTGAAAAAAGCAGTTGTCAAGATCAAAAAGTTCTCCTCATCATGAAATACTGAAATTGCCATTTAGATATATAAAGTCCCCAGTTAATTAATATAATTATAGTCAAACTTTTGTATTTAAAAAATTCTTTTATGCAAAGAGGCACTTTTTACATAGTTTATTGGGTAAAAAAAAAACTATCGCAAAGAAAGCTGCAATATGTAATAATCTGACAGGTATATCTATATACATGTTAACATTGTGTCCTAACATCTTAATAAAAATATCTTCAGAGCATTGATACTCATGTAACCAAGTAATTCTGTTTGCCTCTTGTCAACCTTGAATATAATTTTTAAATAAAATTAGTCACTGCGTACCTGTTTAGAAGGCTTGGAAATCGTGGAATAACTGTTGGAGATCGTTGAACTTCGCGGAGTTAAACTCCGAAATGGTATTGTCTGTGGGGGACCAGTCCAGCTTTTCTGCCAAAGACAATGATTGCGCAAAATATTCCTCTCCATGCTACACTTTACACTTGCTAAATTTCACAAGCTTTTAATATTTACACCTTTTTCACAAATTTTTCAATAAATGTGCACACGAAAATGTTCTTTTAAAATTCATTTCATTTGCTCATGCATCGGAATTTGAAATTCAAACGTGGTCTATATATTTAACATCCTTTGTAGGAAAAAAAAGTTGGATGTTATTGGCTGCTTCGTTATATGTTTTAAAATGAAAAAATAAACATCAATTTTTGAATAATTAATTGGATGATAGTTTCTCAAAATTAGTCGAGTGTAATATTACAGCGTTCTAAAACAATTCGTAGGCAATAATGATAAAAAGTAGAAATTTGCATTATTTGTTCATGGATTTGATGTATAATTAATGAGCATTTCAATACTTTGCAATATCCACAGGGAATATTTAATATTTAGGGTATTTGAAGCGTTATCTTTGATCTTGGGGTGGCACAAAATCGATCCTCATTTTCAACTACCGGGTAGTCATGTATGATAAATAGCCATTACTGATGATCCACTGAAGCGTACCTGTAATAAATAACACTTACTTGTCCATGATAATTGCAAATCATCAAGGCTTGGATATTCATTGTAGCATGCTTAACCCATCATAGAGTTTTCGAACTAAATCTCAATTAAAGCAATTTTTGACCTTTGAATTTTATTTGCTGGAAACCAAAAAAAATTTTTTTTGCCTCTTAATCTAATGGATTCTTTCTCGGTGAAACAGAATGACATGAAATACAATGTCATCATTAAAAATTTCAAAGATCAGTTTGGGGGGATTCTTTGATTTCGTACATAACCCAAAAGATGATTTATTTCCTTTGTTTGTGGGAAATTTACAATGTAAAGATACATGTACAATTTTGTAGAAATTGAGGGGTAAAGAGAACGCAGACATAGACTCTAACACATGGAACTCCTTCAGTGATGAATTTATGTCCATTTTGTGCTTCCCCGCCCCTTCTTATTTCTTAATCTGTAATAATATGATTGCTCTCTCGATAAAAAAAAAATGTCGTAAAAATCTTACCGAGTAGATTGCTTCTTCCAATACAAGTTGGGGTTTACTTTATATATCAATGATATCATCATTATAAATTTTTCTTCACTGACTTATATACTTATACATTAAAACCGGGAGTCTGAAAAAGAACATAAATGTAATTTCTTTACTGAGATAATGAAAAACGTTTTTTGTTAATGTAATCTGATCCATGAATTTGATCTTTAATGAAGAAATTTCATTTTTTTTTACTAACAGTATTGGTTTTATGAGTATCCAAGAAATTAACGTGAGTTGAGCTACTACTTCTGCACCGACAGCTTGGTTAAAACCGCATCCACACTGAATTTACCTAAACTGAATTTCTATACTGTACATCTGTTAAAGTTGTTAATCATATACATGTTATTTATTTTTTAGTTTTCTAATGGTGATTATCGTGTTTTTAACAGGGATTGGTGAAATCATTTTTTCTATGAACCTAGTATGACGTAAAAGAAAAAAATGATGCGGGTATATCAATCAAATCTTAAGTTTTCAGGTTTTATCCATGCATTAAATACCCTTTACCTTGATATGACATTGATTTTGTGTGATCAGTCAATAATTGTGCAGTACCAATTATTGTTCGGTAATTGTCAAGATTTGACAAAGCCTTTGAAAATAAAAAAATAATTAAATGATTTCTAACACTTTTCTGCTTCTTTCCATGATCATAAAGGAGAAATAGTTGATTCAAGTTTAAGGAGGTTTAATTATGAAATAAAAATGACTAAAAGTGAAATAAATTGTGAAGATTGTCCTTAAGTTTATCAATCTGTGATTTTAATTACAATTTTCAATTACAATGACATTCTACTGATTATACTCCTACATGTAGGCAACCCCCCATAGCAAACTATCCATCGGAAGATTAAGTTTATGTTTAAACCTTCCACTTAACCATTAGAACTTCCCATTTAATCATTAAAACTTCCAACAAAACCGTAAACAATTTCAATTGGATTTTATGTTTTCTATAGAGTGCATAAAATTTTGATTCTCACAAAGATATTATGTTAAGTTCTCTTATCTGTAATAAAATATTGTACATTTTAGCTCACCTGAGCCGAAGGCTCAAGTGAGCTTTTCTGGTCAAAATTTGTCCGTTGTCTTTCGTTGGCGTCGTTGGTGTTGTTGGCGTTGTTGTAAACTATTCACATTTTTATAACCTTCCCAAGAACCGCTGGACCAATTTCAACCAAACTTGCTACAAAGTATCCCTGGGTAAAGGGGATTAAAATTTTTTTCAAATGAAGGGCCAAGCCCTTTTCCAAGGGGAGATAATTATGAATTAGTGAAAAATTAATGGCATTTTTTAAAAATCTTGTTTTCAAGAACCACTGGGCCAGGAAAGATGAAACTCATGTGAAATCATCTTCAGGTAGTGTAGATTGAAGTTTGTTCAAAGTAATACCCCCGGGGCAATGGTGGGGCCACAGTGGCCGATCAACATTTCTTTACATAGGAATATTTAGAAAAAATCTTTCAAAATCATCTTTTCAAGATCCATAGGGACAGGAAAGATGAAACTCCTGTTGAATCATCCTCAGGTAGTGTACATTCAAGTTTGTTCAAATCACGACCCCGGGGGGTAGCGTGGGGCCACAACAGGCAATCAAATTTTTACATAGGAATATATAGGAAAAAGCTTTCAAAATCTTCTCAAGAACTATTGGGACAGGAAAGATGAAACTCATGTTGAATCATCCTCAGATTGTGTACATTCAAGTTTGCCCAAATCATGACCCCCGGGGGTAGGGTGGGGCCACAATGGTCGATCAAAGTTTTCACAGGAATACATAGGAAATACATCTTTTTCTACAGAATAACAAAGCCAGGATTAGTGATATTTATATGGAAGCATCTGTAGTGTAGAATTAAATTTGTTCAAATCATAACATCCAAGGATAGGGAAGGGTCTCAATGGTGGATCAAAGTTTTACATAGGAAAATAAAAGGAAAAATCTCAATACCAGAAAAGCTATGTTAAGTCATATTGACATGTAAGCATCCTCATGTATTGAAGATTTAAATTTGGTAAAAATATTTCATTAATATTACATTTATTTCGAAATACACATTATGAATTACTTTACATATAAAGCGAGATTAACATTATTGCACAATTTACGTGAATGATTTTAAGGAAAGGTTGAATGCTTGCTATGTTGTAGACTTCTTTCGGGAAAAAATTATGAAGTGTAACATCCGGTAGGTAGATTTCAAATACATGTATTAGCAATTATGCCACAATTTAAGATTCACTCAAAGTCAAAGGTTTTTAACATAACTGACAGCTGCATTTTCCAATGAAAATAGCACGTAAATTTACTTACTTGTCAGTGGTCATTTGCAAAATTATTTTGTTACAAAATGTTCTGATCGTACAAAAGGGTACTCTAAAATTGATATTAAGAAGATGCTTGAGTTTCTGATTGACAATACGTGTATCTATATAGTTTCTGAAGACCAGGTCTACCAACAATCTGTTGGAATTCCCAAGACTACCAATTGCGTACCGTTATTATTGTTGTATTCATATGAAGCAGAATTCATTCAAAATATTATACATAAGAAGTATAATCTTGCTATGACTTTCAACTCGGTATATAGATACATAATGGAAGCAATATCAAATGACAATATCTATTTCCATACAAATGTCAACATGATATATCCTAGTGAGCTTGAAATAAAGATACCTCAGAGTCTGACACATCTATTTCAAATTTGGACATTTTACTAGGAAAAGACGTCAATTGTAACTAACAACAAAGCTTTTTGATAAACGTAATGACTTTAGGAAGACTAGGCTTATACTATTTCTTAATTATCTCCCCTTGAAAATGGACTTGGCCCATTTTTAATATCAAACTTGGAACCTGTTCACCCAAGTGGCAAGGTTGATTACAATTAGCCTGGTGGTTTTTGAGAAAAAGTTGAAATGCGAAAAGTTTACAGACGGACAGACAGGCGGACTACGGGCAAATTGTGTTCAGAAAAGTTTACTCAAGCTTTCAGCTCAGATGAGATTAATCACTCTTAATTATGTATGTATAATTTAGAGTTCCGTGTGAGCGACAATTTATTTTTTTTTAATGAAATACAGTAAGATCATCCCTTTGTTTTTATCTAATACTTAGAAAAAATACTATAAAGGGCAAGTTTAAGAATACACGAATTTCCTATTTTGTCATTATCAAATAAAGTCATACAAATATATAATATGAACATATGTTTAAAAAAAAGCTTATATACTTCTATATCATATTTATTGATTAAAATATATGTGTACGCTTTTCTTTAAGACTACCAGCTAAGTAACAAACTTTTCCCCAAAAAGTCGAAAAAGACTCTAAAATATTTTTTCGTAAGAAGTAACCTTAATGTTTAACTAAATTAAATTTATTTTTCTTCAGGTTTTCTCAATGATTTACAATGATAATAAAATGGTTTAAAATGTATGTAAAGATTTTGAACCTCTTGAATAGTCTTGATACTTTATTATATTCAGTAATAGAATTGAAAAAAAATATATACACCTCATTTCTTTTTAATTTTTTGTTCAAGGAATGTGTTTTGGGGATAAGCATATAAATGAACAGAAACACTGATACATGAAAGATAGAAAATGTCTATTTCACTCGGCCAAACTCATCTTTAATGACCCATTGAATTCCTCCTCTTCTGATTATTATAATGCAGTGAGGTATAAACGTTGATAATATTTTAACTTTCACAATCTTTTAATAATATGAAAATTAAAAAAAGACAGATAAATGTTTCTGTGGCAGACTCCTTCCTTTAATACTATATTTTTTTTACTTTATGGTTCTTCTTCGAGGAAGTTGAACTTCGCACTTGAAATTTTCCCCGATTTCACCACCACTGCTTTGACTTCTATTTCAGTTCCACCAAAGATGAGACTAACCTTTACCTCACGATCTGACCCCCCTGTTAGATCTGGCATTGGAACTTTCAGATTTCCAAGATAGGAACAACTAGGGTCATCGGTGTACATGGGATTTGCTTTTATTGATTTGTATAGTGGGATGTCAATGGCCGTCTGGTTTGCTCTTAGTGGAGTATAGAT